CCGAAATTTGGGAAAAATTTCCGACCGAATACCGACCGATAACATCCCAAGCCAAAATTTGACCGAAATTTGACCGAAATTCTATTTGCTATTACTCTACCCCAAAATTGAATTATTTGGTAAATTCTGATGGAAACTAATGGGAAATGGCATTTCAGTCCAAGTTCAGTCAATTCTTAGAAGAATACGCTTTGCCCATCTACACAAAAGATTACATCTCACACGTACCAAATTTTAAAGAAATACAATTCAAGATAAACGACGATTTATTTTATGAAACACTGTTGATGCTGATAAGAGGGGAAACTGTGCGATATTCTAAAAGAAAGGCTAAACAAAAGAGGGAAAAAGAAAAAGATCTTATGACAGAGATAACGCGTGCGGAATCCAAGGCAGATTCCGCGCAATCAGAAGAGAACATAGCGCACCTTAATGGTCTAAAAGAGAAACTTGAAAATCTTAGAAAACCTTTCATTGATGGTTTGATCGTGAGGACAAGGGCTAAGTGGCACGAAGAAGGCGAGAGACCTTCAAAATATTTCCTCAGCATGGAAAAAAGAAACGCAATAAGAAAAATACCAACATGTTTGAAAATTGAAGGACAAATAGTTTCTAAATCGTTTTCGATACTGAACGAATTTACAAAAGATTTAGCAAAGAAATACGCTAAAGATCAAAACCCCTCGGGCTCGCCCTCTATGAAAAACTTCATTACAAAAAATATATCAAACACACTCAGCATAAACGAGCGCAGACTTTTAGATCAGCCCATAACTTTTGAAGAGTTAACAAACGCGATGAGAAATATGAAAAAAGGGAAATCCCCGGGCTCAAACGGGTTTACGGCATGCTTCTTCAGACGTTTTTGGGATAAACTAGGTCCCTTATTGCATAGAGCATTCGCGTACGCACTCGAGAATAACAAAACGTTGATGACGCATCAGGAAGGCATTGTTACAATGATCCCGAAGGCTGGCAAACCGCCCGATAGCATAAAAGGATGGCGGCCCATAACGTTACTTAACGTAGATTTTAAGATAATTTCTGCAGCGATATCAGCGAGACTGCAAAAAGTAATGGGTAACTTAATAGATTCATGTCAGACTGCTTACATGAAAGGGCGCTACATCGGTGAGAACACTCGTTTAATATTTGACGTGATAAACAATCTAACAAAACACAACAACTCAGGTTTAATTATGTCCGTCGATTTTGAGGCGGCTTTTGATTCCATATCCTGGAACTTTCTGTCCAGTGTCCTCGAGGAATATAATTTTGGCCCATCATTTAGAAAGACGATACAACTAATGTATCTGAACAATGATAATTTTTCGCGAATTATGCTGAACGGATTCTTAGGAAATAAAATCACTTTACGATGCGGGATCCGGCAAGGTGACCCAACTTCCGGGTATTTATTTAACTTAGCTGTTAATTTACTTGCAAATCAAATTAAACAATCAAGGTTAGTGAGAGGAATTAAACTTGAAGATAATATTGAAATAATAATTTCGCAATACGCTGATGACACTGTGCTTTTCCTGCAAGATGCACAATGTTTGAACGGTGCCCTAAGAGAGTTGGAATATTTTTCAGAAGCCTCGATGCTAAAAGTAAACGGAGATAAAACAACATGTCTGCCGATAGGCCCGCCTAACCTGAACAATAGTGGAGACCAATGTGGTGTTAAATGGGTCACCAGCATGAAAGTTTTAGGAATCATGTTTGAGAACGATAACACTAATATAACCGAAGTCAACTTGCAACCCAAATTGCTTCAAATACAGAAAGAGATCGCGCACTGGCGTAGAAGAAATTTAACAGGTCTGGGGCGAATAACCGTAGTCAAATCGTTACTGATATCGAAGTTAGTCCACTTGTTCACAGCCTTGCCAAATCCACCTAAAAAAGATCTTAAAAATTTAAATAAGTTACTATATCAGTTCATATGGGCGGGTAGGCGAGACCCCATTAAACGTGCCAAGCTCATCCAAAACTACACCAATGGAGGGTTATCTATGATCGATATCCAAGCGTTCGTTAACAGCATGAAGCTCACATGGTTGAAGAGACTCATGCAAAGTCAGGCTCAATGGACAAAAGTTTCGGTCTTGGAATTACCCAAACCAATCCAAGAAATAATGTCCCACGGAAGCAAATTTATAAGGAAAATCAAGGTGAAAGTTACAAACCAGTTTTGGAAAGACGTGTTAGAAGCGTTCGAATTTTTTACCCGAGAACACACCCCCGACACAGAAGAAATACTGTCTGAAAGCATATGGTTTTCGGATTACACAAAATTCACGGGATCGATGATAAGAAGTTGGCACTCAAGAGGAATACGCTTCATTTCATTTATGATTTATTCGATGAAAATACAGGACGTCTTCACACCAAAGAAAGTTTAGAAAAAGCATACAACATTAAGATGACATTTCTCTGTTACGCGAGCCTGGTAAGAAGCTTACCTGATTCAATAAAAAACGCCTCAATTAAGAAAAGATCTGAACCAAACATGCCGCCAAGGATGAACTTGGCACTAAATCACACTTATTTCACACGCTTCGCCTACATGCAATTCGTGATCCATAGGCAAAAGGAAATAAAAGATGCAAATGAACGGCTAGAGCAAAAGTGGCTCAGGGATGTAGGTTGCTTCGAAGCTAGCAGTTTTGTCGAAACCGTCAATGCTACGAACTCAAGTTACAACAGAATGTTTCAATATAAAATTGTAAATCGCATCACAGTTACCAACAAATACTTGCGGATGATCAATGTGAAAGAAAGCGAAAACTGTACTTTCTGTAATGCTGAGCCCGAGACAATATCACACTTATTTTGGTACTGTCCCATAACAAAAGAATTTATCACGGCAGTGAAAACTGAACTTCTAAACAAGTACAACGTAAGTGTAAGTGTAAATTTAAAAACATGGTTATTTCCCACAGATTTACCAGCCAGGGAAACATTGATATTCACATTAGCAAAAATAGCAATATACAGAGCGCGCTGCAAAGATAGCACACCACACATCACACACTAGATGAACATGTTAAAACAAGAAATCGAAACAGAAAGCAAAGTTGCCGAGTTGCTCGGCAAACAAAATAACTTTCAAGAGAAATGGGGAGCACTTAGGCATATCAATGCTTAAACAGTGAAGACTGTATTAAAAATGAATAGGACATGAAGAAAAAAAAACATACACACACACATACACAACACACAAACACACTGCACAGTCACATGAACACATTACCGCCACCTATACTCTTATAACACAATACACATTGGCACCCCCTCATAGTATCCCAAAACCTGATATTCTCCTTCCTTCAATCAAGCTAGCGAGCGCGTCGGCCGCTGTACGGCGTTGGCGGTTGTCGCGCGATTTATCTCACGAGACCGTTTCCAAGGTCTCCACGTTGCCGCCCTCGCCGTCCTCTGCCGGTCCGCCGGGCCGGGGGCCGCCGTCGTGGGGCGTCGTGGCGCCGCCTGGCTCGTGAATAGGTAGTAAACACACTGGCGACAGGCAGCGAGCGGTGCGCCGGACGCTAAATTTATTGACGGATCACGGGGGTGACAGATGTCTGCTATGGGAGAGTGCCTGGTGATGTTTAGAATGTGTGTAGCATGCTCGAGTGTGAGCTGCTACCGTGCTGCTGGGTTGATGTGTGCTGATGGATGGGTGTTCCGATCAATAAACGTGAAAAAAAATCAGTCAATTCTTAGCCACTGCAAAATACATTTTGTGGTAGAAGTTACTTACAGTTAAAGACTGGAATTGAGTTTCACAATGGTGTGTATTTGTGGGGCCAACTGAGTCAAAATCAGCCTGCTTGTGGTTGTGGTTGGACAATTGGTGGCTGCTGCCTGCTGAGTGGGATGGCTACTGAAGTTGCCAAAACATGGCATCCCTTGTAGTATTTGGGGGAAATTTTGCAACTTTATCATTAACATCCCAATAACTTTCATTTTAACTAGGCAAAAATGGAATACTTTCTCTTTTTGAAAATGGTTTCACTGACAGGGTGACCGAAAGTGTCCGATTTTTGGGGGGCCTGACCGACCGATTACCGAATCGGTCAGCATATCTTTTCGGTAACCGATTTTTTCGGTAACCGATTGACACCACTAGTGCATACGTAAGTCTATACATGACTAGACTACGCAGGAGCTCCGCCAAAGCGGGGCTGCGAGCGAACAAGCCCCGCGAATTCTTGGTGTGTGTTGTAGACTCCGCAATTTTCTAGACGCCTATAAGTTTTTTCGAGTTGGTTTGATGTTTCCATAAAGGTTCGTAAACAACGTTTATTTATTTCTTTATTTGATAGTTTACGAACTCCTTCATTCAAGGCCACATGTTCGCGAAAATTTCTTGCTTGTTCATGAACCTTCATAAATATTAAATACGTTATCATTTCTGATACCTTTCACGTTGTTATTCTCATGCAGTGACGTACCTACACGGTCGCAGGCATGTTTTACTTTTATATGTAAAAATGCACCAATCTTATAACAAGCAAATATAGGTAATCGTGATTTATAATGATTCTTGCAACGCTGAGGCTTAAATTGTGCATTCCAGACCTGGCATGACGTCATATAAGGCATCACTGACTAAGGTCGTTTGGTGCAATAGGAGTTTTTCGCCGGTTGAGTCATCAATTGCCCGCAAAAGAAATGCCACGTCGAATGATATTCAGTATGACATCCTCCAAGCAGTTTTATCACCCGCGTGGCTTTGACCTAACCTTGACCTAAGGTCAACATCCTAAAGCGGTCTGACCCAAACAAGAATGAAAGCTTTCCGACTTACAGATATTTTAAGTTAGGGGTTAGGAGTTAGGGGCAGATTCTGCACCGACCCCTCCCCAAGCGGGGCTGGGTTAATTACTGAACACAAGCCTTCGGTTGTGAAATACACCCCAGTCATGCACGGGTTAGGTTGAACATGCCTGCCAGTAGACAGCACTGCAGGATTTGAGTGCAGCCGAGCGTTTGTCTGTTTGGTTTTCAGGAGGATGTTGCGTCTGCTGTTGGCTCTGAGCTGCGCGGCCGCTCTGAACGCGGCGCCGGGCACCGTCTATGTGCCTCTCAGGGATGTCTTCCAAGCCGTGAGTTCCGCCCAGGGGCATGATGTGACGGCCTGCTTGTCATTATCTGATAGTTTTACTTTACATATGACGGTGATTTATAATTGAGCAGTTGGTCGGTTTAAATGTAACAGAATAGGTGTGGAACATGATAGGGGAAGGTGGGGTAGGCTACCCTACCCTTTAGCTACCCTAAAGCAGGGTAGCTAAGAAATGTCCTAAGCCTACGCTTCATTGGCCGCAGGGATTCCCAAATAAATGTGCCTAATAGAAAGGTCCATGTTTAGTCGACTACAGAATGATGTTCCACTTTTCACGGGCCATTATTTACCTGGAGTGGTAGGCTGTGCCGCATCACACAGGCTGAGTTCACAGATTATAGCTTTGTCCCAATGCTCACAATCGACACGCTTAATTGCGTGATAACGGCACAACTTAGCGCTCCGGTCAACTGATAGCTTCTTAGGAGTGGAACATCATTCTGTAGTCGACTATACTCGTATTAGCTCTAACTTTCCTGTTGATGACTTTTGTCTACGTCTGGTACCTATAAAGTGACGGATTTTGACCATGAAAAAAACGAGACACGTTTCTGATTAAAAAAAAAATCGCGGGGCAAAGTGAACCACTGTGTTGGGGGAAGTGGTCCACTTTGCCCCATTTAGCCAGAATTATGCTGAACTTTCTAGTTTCTGGTCCGCCTTACCCCATTTTCAAATATTTTGTTTGATCACGCATTGCAGACAACATGCGCCGAATAACGATTGCTGCTTAACGACACAATTACAGCCATATAAATGCATTTCCGAAGTACAGACGTTCATGAAAATAAAGGCATAAACATGGTAGCTATGATGACATTTATTTTGTAACACTGAAGTTAGAAGGGAAGTTCAAAAACGCACATTTTTTGCTCTAGAGCGAAGGAACTCACCCGGATCAGGCTGCCGCTGCAGGTGAAAGTGCGTATATGAGAAGCACTTCTAATGGCTATATAAAAAATGGATAGCGCTGCTAATGCGTAGGTACTTACTTACAACAGGGTGGGTGGTTCGCTTTGCCCCGGTGGTCCGCTATACCCCACTTTCCCCTACCTATCTCATAAAAAGCGAGAACAGTGAAGTTTTTTTCACGCTACAGTTTTCATTAGCGTAACAAAGGGGAGCTGGGGAAGGGCTAGCTCAACTTCAGTGAACAGGGGAAGGGGTATCAAGAATGGCAAAAAAAAAAACGTATGACGTAATTTATGGACGGCCCCTTTGGAGAAAATTGAAATGCACATTTTTTGGACGAATGTCGTTCTAAACACTCAAACATCGGTTCATAGGTAAACATAACACACTGAATCGGAAAAGTGCACCCGTGACCTATCTGTGTGCCCGAGGTCATCCCACGTCATGAAAGGTCACCGATATTTTCATACTGTAACTTTTGATAAAGACGTGCTATGACGTGCGGTGAAACACACCAGATTTGTTCAGCTCGACGACATTGATCGACTGATATGCAACATGACCCTTTGCGGTCAAGTCATAGTCTTATCATTTGTCAAATTTTCAAAATGATCTCTCAATGTCAAACTATCGTTCATTCAACCCATCTTGACGAGAGGAACACGATGCCGGCATAAGCAGTGTCGTCTCTTTCCTGAGACATTTCAGAAAAAAAAAACTTCCCAGAAAAAAAAACTTTTTTTTGTAAAAAAACGTTTTTTTACATAACAATGTTGACTGTTGTGTGTAAATTTTCGCTCACGGCTCGGATATCTTTGGACAAATGACAGGCTCGGACATTTTTGGACGGACAGAGGAGAGGGCCTTGTCAAATTCAGAAAAAGACATGAGAGGCAAGAACTGTCGTTGAAGGTCCCACCTGTCATAAAGCTAAAAAGCATTGCAGAAGTAACGTTGCCATCTTCACCAAATGTAATGAAGAGCGGCTCGGGGTTGGTGACGGCACTGACTGGCCCGTGGTGCCGTTTCAGGGCCAGCAGTTTTTTGTCGGTGATCTCGAGGTGGGCACTCCCGGGCAGCCCATGTCGGTCATTGTCGCCATCGACGGCCTGACGTGCCTCAACTCTGTGCGATGCTCGGACCCGTACTGCACCAGCCACCGGCAGTACGACGCCTCCGCCTCGTCCACTTACCAGGTGAGCCGGCCGGCGGCGCCCTCCCACCGAGACAGGCGCGCCGTCAACTGCGGCGGGCTGGGCTGGTTTGCCGGGTTTGCCCTCTCAGCATACCGAGGACATCGCAAAGCCGAAAAGTAGTGGACATTGGGGGTGCCATTGCGGTCTGGGCGGCAATCATGGTGCTCCGCGGCGGCTGTGCCCGCCACAGGGACACTTCGGTCGGGCCACACGGCCCCGCAGCAGTCACCGAGCCGCACAGCAGTGAGCTGCGCGCACAGATGGGAGCCGCTCCGATCGGGCGATGGCGACCGTCGGGCCCGAACAGCAGCCAGGGGGTCTAAGGTGCCGAGGAGAAGGATTTGTGTGTGCTGAGGATAGAGCGGAAGAATCCGAAATGGATAGCGAAATGGATACCTTGCTGTGATTATTAACGTACATATATTCTCGATAGACACTTTGTTGCAGTCTACTAAACGTGCTAAAGTAGCAGTTATTACATTGTCACAACCTGCTGCGGCTACAACAGTTCGCTGCCGCAGTTTTGCAGCCAGTTTGTGATGCATAAACTGACGGTCTTCCACAGGAGGACGGCACTCCTTTCGACCTCCCGGGAGGGCTGAACATCAGCGGCGTGCTCTCAAAGGACTCGGTGAGCCTGGGTGGAGCCACCGTCAGCGACGTGCTCTTCGCAGAGGCCACGTCCGTCTGGAACCAGTGGTCGACCGACGCGCCCAACGACGGCGTGCTCGGTCTCGGCTTCAGTCCGGCAGCGCCGTCCATCCTGGACGCCCTGGCCGAGCAGGGAGTGATCGCTGACCGGCTGGCCGGCATCTGGCTGGGCCGGGACGGCGTCGGCGGCGAGCTGACCCTGGGCGGCATCAACGAGCAGCGCTACACCAGCCCGCTCACCTGGACGCCCATCGTGGACAACATGGTGTCGGCCGAGAGCGTCACCGTCGGCCAGGTGAGCGTGTGCGCCGCCGACTGCCGGGTGGGCGCCACCTCCGTCAGCCCCTACTTCTTCCTCACCATGCAGATGGCCAAAACCATCAACGACGCGCTGGGCGGCACGGACATCGGCCAGCCGGGCGTGGCGGCGCTCGACTGCGCCACCCTGGACGCGCTGCCGACGCTGGAGCTGGTGATCGCCGGCCGCTCGCTGCAGATGAGCCCCCGCCAGTACACGGTTGTCATCCCGCTGACCGGCGGCGAGAGCCTGTGTCTGTCGGGCTTTGTGGGTCAGCCCGAGGCGCCTCCCGCCGACATTACGGTCGGCACTCTGTTCATGCAGCAGTTCTACGCCGCCTACGACATGGACAACATGCAGCTCGGCTTCACCGACAGTGCGTAGGGGAGGAGCTGCCGCGGGATCCAGCGCCACCCACCGGGAGTCGGCAGCACGGAGCCGCGGGATCCAGCGCCACCCACCAGGAGTCGGCAGCACGAAGCCGCGGGATCCAGCGCCACTGGGAGTCGGCAGCACGGAGCCGCGGGATCCAGCGCCACCGGGAGTCGGCAGCACGGAGCCGCGGGATCCAGCGCCACCCACCAGGAGTCGACAGCACGGAGCCGCTGGATCCAGCGCCACCCACCAGGAGTCGGCAGCACGAAGCCGCGGGATCCAGCGCCACTGGGAGTCGGCAGCACGGAGCCGCTGGATCCAGCGCCACCGGGAGTCGGCAGCACGGAGCCGCGGGATCCAGCGCCACCCACCAGGAGTCGGCAGCACGGAGCCGCTGGGCCGTCCGCAGCTCTGCGTGCCTCCATCATGGGTGCTTTACTCTAGGGTGCTTTACCGGACACATTTAATTAATCCATTTTAATGGAATGTTGGCCTTGTTAACTTCAAAATGCTATTATACTTCAGATACTTTGAATATATGAATTATACCAAATACCATGTGTGGTAGTTTCCGCTCTCACATATCAATGAGGTTTGTTTAGGCCATGCTGTGCTCTGCGTGATAATTCAGGAAATCACTTGCAAGTTCGGTGCTTTATCGGATTTTACGTGTAATCGGTATAACCGCAGAGCGAGTTCAGCCAATGGGAAAAACGGTGGGACGGCTTCACTGAGGGGCACGTCCGTTCACTGCTCAGTCGAGGAAATTACACGGATGACATGGATGTTCAGACTGCAGGAAACCACGGACGACACGAGTGCTGAGTTCATGCAAACGTATGAAAGCACTGGCGGATCCAGAAATAATGTCCAAACACATCCTTGGATTTCGCTTTCTTATACCCCACAATGCAGCTAAAACAACTTTCCTTAGCACGTGCTCCGCTCGGCGATCGGTGGATTTGGCATTTCTTTGGCGTCTTTCAGCAAAAAATCACGGCACTGACCCTATGCAGGACGCTGATCGACAGAGGGCGTGAAAGGAGTGGAGACCGAGTCGCGCCAAAAGAAAATTAGTATATGAAGGTCACTCGTACCACCGATCGCCGAGCACGTGCTTATGGCACCTGACCTTACTGGATCGGACGAGACTGTAAGATTCATTAGAACGGCGAGGCCCACAGCCATACACACATCCGCGCCGCAAACGTCCGTACGTACTCGGCGGCGGCATCGTGAACCCTTGCCTCATATAAAACACCCAGTGACACATAGCGGTTGGCCAGACATTGCACTGAAGTGGAAGTGACTTAATTCCAAGTGATTTCTTCTCGAAATTGTCTACGTCACATGCATGTGAAATCAACCTTAAAAAAATACACAGTTACATAAATTAATGATGAAACGAAAGAAACAACATCAGTATTCAGCAAAATAAACATACCGAAGAAACTATTAGTACAGGCGGCGGCGCCCCACGAACTGCACCCTTCCCTTTGCTGACAAACCATCACAGAGGGAACATCTTTGCCCACCTCCTCCCCACTCCCCCACTAATTTATTATCTTCCCTCCAAACCGCGCTCGAGGCGCGTGAGGACCGTTGAGAGGAGGGTGGGAGGGACAGCCGGGGTTGCCGCAGCTCGCAGCATAGCAATGTTAATGGGTGTGGTAGGCGGTGGCAGAGCAGATGGCAAGACCGGTGTGGGTGGTTGGCTGGTTGCCCTGGGATGGCTGTTACCGCCAAAGCGCACGGGGCGGCTCTGACGCCGGGGGGGGGGGGGCGCACCGCCGCTCCCAGCGGGGTTGACCGTTGCATCATTGGCGGCCTTGCCGATTCTGGCAGGCAGGCGGGGAGGGGGTGGGGGCCGCCGCACCGCAGGCATTCGTGTGCCCTCCAGCACCTGCCCCCGGACAGGCACACTCGGTGGTTGTAGCGCAGGCAGATCTCGTTTGGGCACAAAAATGTCAAATTGACCGTTTTGGACCTCTTATTGATTTTAGCTCGCATCTGAAACATTATTCACGACCGAGCCTTAAACGGGTTATCAAATGTTTTTTGCAGTGTTCTTAACTCCGTTATGTTCATGAACTTTGAGAAAAGTTGTCGGAGAACGCTAAAACCAGAAAAATTTGACTTTTGATTATCTATGGTGATTTTATTGTTGAGCTTGCCTGAAACATGACCAGATTTCTCTGATCACGTTTGTCGCTCTTTCAAACGTCGTTCCGCTTCTCGCCTCGTAACCAGTAGGTACTCAGAAGCCGAGTTAGAAGGAGCGTGAAATGCCCACCTCTCGACTCAACGTGTTACGTCGGACCACCACCCTGGCGCGGGTTACGTTGGGGGGCTCTGAGCCCCAGCAGCTCGTCCTTGATGCTCTTCTATCTCACTGATATTACCCTCGTCCTGTCTTGTGATGTTATTGCAGTGCCATCTTACGATAAGGACCCTTAAATAGGGGAGAGTGGGGTAAGATGCCCAGGGTGGGAAAGACGCCCCACCCCCTCTAGCGGCTAAACAAAAACTCGAACCTGGAAATGAATGTTCTTAGCGTAAAGCGGAAGCCTGCCTTGTTAACTGCACAAAAATTTGCGGAACTCAGTTGGGCAACGGCTGGCTGGTGATTGCATGTTTTTTATTTGCTGCTTTCAAAAAATCTTTTGAGGTCAAAACATTGTAAATATCAAAGAAAGTAGATAATTTTTGCGTCCCTTGCTATAGTCGTGATACATTAACATGCGTGTACTGTGTCCCAAACAGTTTGTTTCAGGGTGTAGTTTTATGGCTAACAAATTGTACTGATTTAATGCTAATTCGGTACCTTGGGGTAAGATGCCCCCTGCCCTGATGGGGAAAGACGCCCCCCTAAATCCGTATGCTGGCCTTCAAGGAACCCGTCAAATCATTTAGTACATACTTGTGATGAGAGACAAAAGCCGATCTGGGACTATTGAGAGTCCAGTACGGTCGGGTGCTTCCCATGCCGGTCTCTCGGCCCACATAACGACTTATTGGGCGGCATATGACTCTGAGAGCCCTCATGACGGCCTCTGTGGGCCCCATTATTGGCTCCAAGGCCCCTTACGACATCTTTTGAGAGCTCCCACGTTGGCTCCACGGGCCGTGCTGGCATCTGAGGTCCCCACGATGGGCTTGAGGTCCCTCAAGCATCATATAGACCTATAAGGGTCCCACAGCGGTCTCCGAACGCCACCACGGAGGCTTGTTTGGCCGCGCTGAACTATGGTGGCCCTAAAGATGACCTCTGAAGTCCCTTACGACTACTTTTGAGGGCCCTTACGATGACGTTTAGTGCCTATTGCAGGCTCGAAGGGACTACTGATTCGTTCAGGCGATTCACGTGCCCATTTATGTCAAATATAGTGCAGGGGGCATCTTCCCCAACGCCAGGGGGCGTCTTTCCCACCCTGTGGGGTAAGATGCCCCCTTTCACTTCTTGAGGAAAATTCTTAATAGCATAAAAGCTATCATATTTCAGGCACGAAAGAGTGTTATTTTTTTTAGAAAAATGATGTCGGCTTCCGTTGAAACTCCAAGTTTTTGCTTTCGGATCGACGTTTTCGAATAATATATGACAAAGTAAAACCCTGGGCATCTTTCCCCACTCTCCCCTATGATTTAATTTTGTTTGATGAAACTTGTCGGGCTCCGCGATGAAAAGATTTGAGTACATAGAAGCTCCAAAATCAAAATAAATAAATTTTCAAAAACTTTTCAAGGTAGATAAGAATCGAATAATGAGAGACACTTAATAGGTGGCAGTTTTTTTCGTATGGAGACAGCTTTAACCCTCGCCGGCAAAGGCCATTTTGCGTCCTTCGACGGCACAAGGGTACGACCCCCCTCGCGTTTGGCCTCTGACCGAGCTAGTGCTTCGCGAAAAAAAAAGAGCGTGTTGCCCGTCACGAGAGGAAACCGATGATACCCAATTTTAAGGTCCTAGGTCATCGGGTGACCTTCCAGGTCAGGTCAATGACCCGAAAACCGGGAAAATCGGGACCTGTTAGAAAGTCGTAAAGTGTGGCTGCTATGTGGTTTTCCGGGGTGCTGATCACGAATATCGTGTTAGTTTTGATCAGAGATGATGTCTTTAAGCATTTAGACCAGGTCGGGTCAGGTCAGGTCAGGTCAACCGGTAGGGGTTGTGACGGGTATTCGTAATACGTGTCAACCGCCTCTGACAGCTTCGTAACATGTTACGAAGGCACCAAAACTACTTCGTAAATGTTCAAATGGTTGCTAAATTCGAATTCAGCTCCAAAAACTAGCCTAGAAACATGTAAAACTCGAAAAAGTGATCCGAGGTCACCCGAGGTCACCAAAGGTCAATGACCTGACCTGACCTTCAGGTGACCTTGACACCCACCCTAATGTATGGGAGCAACATCAAATCACATGTTTGAACGTTTGAAACCACGAAAAGCTTGCAAACGCGCGGCTAATGCGAGCCGACATACGCGGAATCGCGATTCCGGCCAAACTTGGTCTCGGAAAAGAGGTCACAGGTCAAAGGTCATTTGGGTCAGGGTCATGAAATTTTCAGGGTAGGTGCAAAATTGATCAATGCGAGGATACTGAAAGTGTCGTCGGGATCGGCCGCTTTTTACGCGAGTTATTCGCGAAAAACCTTAGTGGGGGGGGGGTGCATCAACCCCCCCCCCCCTGTGCCGGCGAGGGTTAAAGGGACCCTCCCACCTTAACATTAGATTTGAGTTGAGATAGCCAAAATGGGGTCCCTGGCTCACAATTACCGGTTTCGGCACTCACAACATCGAGAAATGCCTTAAATCGGAAATATTGAATTTCAAAATTGCAGCATTTTGATTCAGAGGGGCTAATGCTTAGGAATACCCCTCTGAATGTGTGACGTCAGCGCTGATATCTAACGATTTTTAAATGTTTGACTAAAACGTTTTGTAGCACGCAGTGGTATATGCTATTTGCGCGCAACATCTGCCGCAAACGCCGCACTTCTAGAATAAAGTCGCTAGAAACAGCGGAGATCCCAAAAAAGTAAACAAAAGTAAAAGTCTAATATCTTGAAAACCGGTGAATATTTTTCGGTGAAATTTGGTAGATATTCGTTTTCGCTCTTTCTGAACCGAGCGACATCACTTCATGCCAATTTATAAACTTTTTTGAAGGTGGGAGGGTCCCTTTAAGCATTTACAAGAGACAAGAGTGGAAAAAGTTACCCCGTCCGCGCCGGGGTAGGTAGGCTGAAATTTACCCCGCGGCCACGGCCGGGTGGCCGGGGCAGGTTCTCCAGTTATGCCTATAGCCTTATATGCAATGGCCATTTTCAACAAGTGCACCAAACTTGACCGGGTCATGAAGGGAGAAGCAGGAGTCATCATGTAAATGGAATCCAGCCCGTGTAATGGAAGAATAATAAAACACTAACTTTTTACGCAATTTAGTTTTGCACCTAATCCACTTCCGACTTTCCCCAGGTGGCCCCAGAGGACGACGGAAAATCATTTGATCGCGGTAGCTGCAGCTGAACTTAGATCTAAAGTAATGGTGTGAAATGCTTTAGCGAGGAACATAGCGAGTATGAATACGTGAAGAATCATTGAACCTTTCCTCGAAAAAATAAAAAGAAAGCCAAAAGTCTAATTTACGAGCTACAATGAGATGATGACAAAATAATGCCTCCACTTTGTACGCTTATTCGTCACACATAGGCGGCGGAACGGGGAAGGCACCGGGGCACCGTGCCCCCTTTGATTTAGGCATTTTAACATTATTCCTATTTCCTATGGGCGTTGCATAGAAAGAATGGGACCAAAAGTCGGCAGTGCCCCCCCCCCCCCTTAACCCTATTCCTGGCGGGGGGGGGGCCTCAGGAGCCCCCCCTGAGGTTTTTTGGTTATTTCTCCCAAACGCGTTGAGCTAGGAAGCTCAAATTTTCTGGCTTTTCCTAAAAGGCTTCTACGCAACATGTCTGAAAATTTTGAGTTGATCTGACCTCAGGTCAGGTCACCAGAGGCGGTTTGGTGACCCTACCTCAGAAAAGTTTGCAATCACGCCAGAGCTAGAGTTTTTGACCGATCAATTTCTTCTCTTCAGGCTTTAGTTAGGGTACCAGTATGTGCAATTTGTATATCTCGGAATTTTGATATCGGTGACCTAAGGTCAGGTCAGTTTCGCGACCTCCCCATTATAAGTCAATGGGGGAAAAATCAACTCCCTGTTTTTACCACTAAAACGGGTCGGAATGGCCCCATATACCATACATGACTTCATATACGATCAACCTTCACTACCTTGAGGTCTGTTTTGCTGTTGGGCAGCTGTGAGGTCATGTGACGTCATCAAAGGTCACCAAAGGTTTTTGGCCAATAACTCCGTACAGGAACAAGATACAGACGCGTGGATGGTCTCATTGTGTTCAGCTCGTCAAGACGCATCTAATGATATACATGATGACCTCGAGTTCACGTGACCTGAGGTCAACCTTTGACCTTGACCTTTCGAGGTCAACATATATATCATTCGATGCGGATTGACGAGAGGATCACGATGATGCCATTAGTTTGTTCCAATCTTGACTAATTCGAAAGTTATTCGAGAAAAACTCTCTCCATATCTAGCGCCGCCATTTTGACTTTTTCGACCCCTGTGACGTCATCTTTGACCTGACCTGAAAATGACCTTAGTAAAAATTGTAGACCTTGTCCATGCGTATCCGATGCCGTTTACCGCTTGTCGCTATCTTGCTTCGTTCTCGAGATCTCAGGGGGGGGGGCCGAATCGGCCCCCCCGCCAGTTTCTTGTCCCGGCGGAGCCCGCCAGGAATAGGGTTAAAGGGACCCTCCCACTTTAACATTAGTTTTGAGTTGAGATAGCCAAATTGGTGGCCATGGCCTGCAAATACCGGTTTGGGCACTCACAACATCGAAAAATGCTTTAATTCGAAGATATGGAATTTCAAACTTGCAGTTTTCGGATTCTAAGGGGCTAATGCATTGGAATGCCCCCTTAGAATTTGTGACGTCAGCGGAGATCTAACTATTTTAAATCTTAGACTAAAACCATCGTTAACACGTGGTGGTATACGCTGCTTTGCGCGCAACGTCTGCCGCATTTTAAGGCTGCCAAATTATTGCTTCCAAATAAAGTCGCTAGTAACAGGGGAGATCCCAAAAAGTAAACAAAAGTAAAAGCCTAATATCTTGAAAACCAGTGAATATTTTTCGGTGAAATTTGGTAGATATTCGTTTCCGCTCTTTCTGAACCAAGGGACATCACTTTTATGCCAATTCATTACTTTTTTGAAGGTGGGAGGGTCCCTTTAACCCGCGCCCTACTGGGGGGGGGGGCTATTCATAGCCCCCTCCCGTTTTTCTGCAATAACTTCCAAACCACGTGACGTATCAACGCCAAACTTTCAGTACCTTCGGCTGCATCAATTTGACACCTTGTGTCAAAATTTGATCTTCGTAGCTACCATAGGTCGGCCGGAAATGACGTCAGAGTGACGTCATGTTCGGCCGATTTCGACGCAAAACATTGAACCACGGCAATCACTCCCAAGAGCTCAGTTTTTAAGCTAGATCCAATTTATTTGCATGAAAGGACTCAAAATTGACTGCGCTATCAAACTGGTATCTCGGATTTTCAAAATTTTGAAAATTTCGAAAATTTTATATAATGTCCTCCCCGTGGCCTAGTGGATAAGGCGTCCGTCTCCTAACTCGGTGGCAGCGAGTTCGCGGCCGGGAAGCTCCACGTCGTTTGACCCGCGTTCCTATATTAAGCCAGCTGGCAACTGGCGAGAGAGGGCCACGCTAGACCCGGGAGGACCGTGCCGCCATCTACATGCGGCACGTTAAACTTTCGATCCAAATTATCACCGGTGAACCGGGCGCGGGCAAGGTGGGGTGGTGGGTCCGTGGTGTCATTCGCAACAAGCAGTGCTTAGCGGGGCACCCGGGCCCATAGCCACCCATTCATCCGTTCGGACAAAATTTCTTTAAAAAATTATATTTTTATATCTTATTCAAAAAGTTTTTGACTTTTCGAAAAAACCGGAATATATGTGACAGAAAGCATGCTTATGACTAACTCTAGCAAGTTTTAGCTAAATACCTTAAAAAATGGCCAAGCTATACGCATTATTGCTAAAAAATCAATTTTTCAATCCATTTTTCAGTACGTATTTGACATCGTACACCAATATAAATAGCACCATCGTGTTCCTGAGCTCAAACTGCATCCAATAGACACCTTTTTTGTGAAAAATTTTAACTTCAAAATTTGACCTTTTTGGACCTGAAAGTGACCTGGCCTAAGCTAAATTCGACTCAAAATGACCTCGAATGACACAGACGACATCAAATTCGAAATCTACGGCCTAAATGGACCATAAGACATGTGTCACGTGACCGACGCATGATATAATATTTCCGTGACCTGTGATGACCTGACCCTGACCTGAAAATCAAAGTACAAGTTTTATACCCGCAAGGTATCTAGAGCATCTGTTCACGAACGTGGAAACCAAAAATGAGCCTGATCTGACTTGTAAGACGGCGGCCAGAGCCCAAAATGTGAACAAGCCAATATGCTAATAACTTTTACTTTGACCTGACCTGTGACGTCATCGGTGACCTCGAGGTCAATGAAATTAGGTTTCGTTCGACAGTTTTTCCGGGGCTATCAGACGCCGTTTGAATTTTGACGATCGGTCCAGTAGTTTCGGAGTTAGGAGGGGGGGGTCTATGGAGAGCCCCCCCCCCCCCCAGTAAAGCGTGTTATACGCAGACCCCAGTGGGGCGCGGGTTAATTAAAGGTGTTCCGCCGCCACTGTCGTCACAGACACAGTAGGTAGGTAAGTCATCGGGTGTTGTAGAAGACGACGTTCAGGCGTGAGCCTAGGCTCGCTACATCCACTTATTCAACCGGAAAAGTTGTAACATCATGGTTGTTGTATTGCACTTCAATACCTACAAACGTGACACAAATGAAACATGGCGAACTTTATCATGTGGTCAATCATCAGGCGGCGTCAGTCTCAGCCTGTTTGTTACGGCGCCCCGCGGAGCGTCGGGCGATGCAGGGATGGAGCAGCACCAGCGCGCCGCCGGCCAGCATGCAGCCCGACAGCACGGCGAACACGGTGCGAAACGTGCCGGCCGCGTCTCGCAGCAGGCCGCCCAGCGGCTGCGCCGTCAGGTTGGCCACGCCCGCGAACAGGTTCGACATGGTCAGCGTCGACGAGAGACGCTCCACGCCGTAGTACTCGGCGTACATGACGGGCGTCACCACAAAGTAGAAGCCGACGGCGGCGTACACCACCGCGCATGCGGCGAACAACTCGGCGTATGAGCGGACGAACACGAGCGCCAGCACGCCCGTTCCACCCACCAGGCACGTGATGAACAGGCCGTAGCGCTTGTGGAACAGGTTGCGGTCCAGCAGGAAGCCCAGCGAGAGACGGCTGACGATGTCGATCGGAGCGATCGTGGCGATCATGCTGGCAGTCTGACCGCGACTGACGTCAATCTCCAGACCGAAGCGCGGCACCAACAGACACACGTGCGGAAGGCCAGCCGTGAAGAGGAACACACTCGTCACACAGGCGACGTACAGTGGGTCCGTCAGTAGATGGAGGTCCAGGGACCGGAGCACCTGCTGCCAGCAGCCCGCCGATCGCGGCGCCTCCGGAGGCTCCACGGCCAGACTCAGCTGACTCAGCATGATGGTCGAGGACACCAGCGTGGCGCTGGGCCTTCGGTTGCGAACAGCGCTCTCGGAGACTGCCAACGAGGGGCGCTTTTCCATTCCGTAACCTTGGGGCAACAGCCGTGCGGAGGAAGGAGCTTCGTCCGGTAGAGAAGGCTTCTCTGCCACGGGATCGGCCTGTTGGAGTTTCACAACAGGCAACGAGGGCTGGCGTTGCCGTCTTCGGTTCCGCATTTGTTCCAGGCGCATGATCTCGCGCTGCTTGTCCATCGGCCGATACAGCATGGCTGAGATGATGGTGTGCAGCTGAAATCCTCCCATCATCAGGTAGGTGCCGGGGATGCCGTACTCCTCCAGCATCCCCTGCACCATCAGCGGGAAGAACACGCCGCCGATCGCGGCAGACGCGGCCGTGATCGAGTTGGCCAGGCCGCGACGCTTCACAAAATACTTGGTCACCATCAGTGTGCCGGGGAGGTTCGCGAACCCCTGCCCGATGCCGAAGATGACCCCGTTGGTGACGTAGAGCGCGTAGATGTTGCTGGTGAGGCCGCTGAAGGCCAGACCGAGCATCGTCAAGATGCCGCCGCCTATGCCGACGGTTCGCTCGGAGAAGCGGCGGCAGAGTGCGCCACAGACGGGCGCTATCAGAAAACTGCCCGAGTAGAACAGAGCCGGGATGACGGCCACTTGCGCCGAGGTGAATCCATACTCTTGCACTAGCGCTGCTAGCAGCAGGCCAAAGGACTTGTGGATGCCGCCGACCAGGATGAACTGCAGTGCGGCGCCGGCCGCTACCACCCAGCTGTAAAAGGAGTCCTCAACCTGGGGATCTTCGATGAACTGTTCCACTTCTCCGCTCCTCTTCGAAGATGTGTGTGCTGCTTTGGAATAAGTCACGGCATTGGCCTGAATTTTGCTTTCGTATGACATTGCAGAGACACTCGAACTTCGCTCGTCCGAGGATGGTGCCAGTGAGGTTTCCCGCGACAGTTTGGGACGGGAGGCGTCCGTCCACGTTCTGGCTCGGGTGGACAAGGGGGACACACTCGTCAAGGACGACCTGCTCGATGTCCTCGTCGTGGGGGATTCACTGGTTGCCTGGGTGGATGTGTTGGCGCTTCCCTTCTCGGCCACGACCTCTGAGGATGACGCACCCGAGGACTTCTCTATCGATTTGGAGACATCCTCAACCGAGGAGGAGTCTTCGAGTCCCGGCATGGTCCTTCACCCTTATGCTTACACACTTTCACAAAGTGCTTTTATAACGAGACTAGCCTTCTAATCATTCCAATATCGTGAACGGTTTAGGCAGGCAACTATGCATCACAAGCAGTCAGTTCGATTATACGGAGAAATGCCTCAGTAACAAAGCACCACAGTGTGCCAGTCCACTATCACCGTATCCGGCGTCACCGGCTCATTCTTCCACTGATCGCTAACGCCGCCACCAACGTTCGGTCTGTATTGCCCAGTAACGCTGCCACCACTGTCCTTTTCGACGAGCTACCGTCTTCGACTGCCTCCATTCGCCGGCCAAAGTTGAGAGTACAACGTCCGAAACGCAAAGCCACCGCAACTACCAATCCTCACACAAACGAGTCCACGACTTCGCCCGTTTCGCCCGCCTCTTCTCTTCCAGGTCTCCGCATCTCGATGTCCCACTCAGGCTCCGAGCCAGCAGCGGTGCGATGCTCTCCTCCCCACACCCGACACCCGTCTGATCGCCGCAGAGGACGACGGTGTGCAGCGAGCTGACACAAGTCGCACCGCAACGCAGCCTGGGCGGAGGCGGGGCGGGGCGTCCATGGCCGCAAGATAGCGGTACACCGGCTCAAGTGGCCACTTCACCTCAAGGCACCCGTGACAGTCAGCGACTATAGTCCCGAGTCATCGTGACATGAGGGATGTAGGACCTACTGCAGAGCCTTGGCGAACCCATGGGCGCGTGGTGTAATCGCCGGCCGCCATTCACCGTGATACGCCGGTACGCCGTGACCGTGAACCAGGACCATGGCCGTGGCCACTGGCCGTGTGACGTGTGTGCGTGAGGGGAGAGGTGTACATCCGAGCACGGAGTAAAACAACTCGTCATGTCTGACTCTCGGTATCGTCGTGGTTAGTGGATTGTCGTTGCAGATGAATTGGAGGTTAGAAAGCACTGATGGCTAAAATTTTAGGCATTGCAACGAATATTTTGGGCATATAGAGCTGAGGAACCTATAACACTCTAGTTAATATCCTACACGCTGGACATCTAGATCGTATAGTTACATAACACATAGGTTATGCTATTTTAACAAAACTGATTTTACCCACCCCAGGAACTTATTACTGTATAATTCACTACATTGCTTGTTGCAGAACAGTGCTGAGCATTTATCTAATGAACGTTTGAAATCGGAATAGGGCACATCACATGACAGGTGCACCGGAAACATTTAGCAGAGTTCACAGACTGCGATAACTCCTCACGCGATGCCGTGCGTCCGTCTAGACTCATACCCGCTATCTCACGGCGTAACCTTGTACTTCGATAAATCAGCGTCACTCCCGGGTCAGCAGTCGCCAATCGGCGGCGGAACCTGCCTTGCGGGGCAGTTGATAAAACACATTGTACACATTGAGCGCCAGCATAGCTTACTGGTCTTTGGCAATACCTGCTTGGAGTAGAAAGACGCTCAGTCATGCTTACAGCTCCTTCGGCAATGTCGTACCTATGACTAGCTAAAAGCCATGTGCTTTTGCATCAGCAACAGACCGAGCCGAATCATCAGTGGCACCTCGTCTACCCTCGTCTTTCTCCCGCCTTTACGTCTCTTTCTCGCTAAAAATGTCAGAGGCAAAAGAGCACTGCAAGAGCTCTGGCAGGTGCAAAGATTTAGAGGAATCACAGCGCCGACGCATAGTGAGAAAGCCACGCTCGTTTCGCAAACATTGGCCGACTATCTAAACACATTGACCCGCACCCAAAAACATGAAAAAACCGTTGGTATGGACGGTGTATTTCATAACGTAAAGTTAGGTATATCAGGCGTAGGGGAGAGTGGGGCACATTCGTGCATGGGGCACATTCGTTTTCAGCAGTTTATGGGAACACGAGTGACTGCACGAGCTCAAGGTAAATTATGGAAATATGTCTATCATTGCCGCCCTTCGTTCACCGTAGAAGACAACACTGTACCTGCTGTCATGCTTGATAAAAACGCAAATTTGTAATATTCGTGAGCTTTCCAAACTTTTCTCATATTATCCATTTTCGTGATCCTGACTCGGAAATGTGGTTCAGCTTTTCAAAATTGGGGGTGAAGAAGCTCACTCTATTCACGGAACTGCTGCAAACTTGTTTCTTGAAAAAGTGTCATTTTTTCAAAAAGAAATTTTGAAATATATTACTAATAACGTTGTGGGGCAGGTTCGTGTACGCACTGCCTGGGGGCACATTCGTGCATATTTTTTGTAGTTTTTGCGATTTATGACTTTATCTGTAGTAGGTTTCTCTAATGACGCTCGCCTGACTCAGTCTCGACTGCTTGCGACGTCGTGACGAGCAATTCACGCGAACTTGGCGAGGTCACGGAGGCCGGCAGCTGGCACATTCTTGTTGGCCAGCCCATTCTTTCTACATATGTTGTGTAATGCATTCTTGTCGAAAGGAATCAAGTGAAATGACCCCCTGCCAATTTCCTTTGGTAAATTTCTGGTAATGCCCGGTAATTTATCGAACTTTGCAAGGTGAACGGAAGTGCCCCACCTCTTGAACGAATGTGTCCCATAGGGGGGGGGGGGGGCAGTTTCGTGCAAATGTTCAGAGTTATTAAAAGTCATTTTTTCTAATGGAAGCAATAATTTTAGAGGATAACTTTTAAAGAGGAAAACTATCTGCAATAGTTCCTTTCCATACTACAATCAACAATTTTGCCATTGCACTAACCAAAGAACAGATATATGGGTTTATCCATTTTTTTGCACGAATGTGCCCCACTCTCCCCCATATATCACAGTGCGGTGCAATCTCGCTATCAGCTAATGGCAAGTACAGGTGCTCATTGGCCTGCGATGGAGATCTCAACATACATATGAACAAAAAGCCGAGATATCAAACTATCAAATCCCACTCATCCCTGTTTGAACACTATCAATGACTGAGTGGCTCGAGTCTCTTCAGCCTTGGTTCGAAATCAATGAAATATCAAAACGATACGCACACACGAGACATTCATGGATATCAGATTCAGTTGGATTGTAGGACGTGGGTCTCACAATCGCACTGGACGAACATATTACACTTGGTCAACTACGCACACTACCAGAAAAAAAAAACTTGGACGGTGGGAGGATGAAGTAAGAACTATATCGCGAATCTCACACCCTAGTTGTACATGACACTGACCGCAAAATGTCATTGCTACATAGCGCATGGTACCAATAATCCATAAAGTGGGGTAGCATGACAATTTACCGACATTCCATCACATAGGATAGACAAACTGGCCAGTGTTTTAAAGGGACTATCCCACCTTCTAAAATGTTGTTAAAACCAGTTAAATTGTGCCCGACTTTATAGATTGGATGACCAGGAACACGGTTCTGGCATTTATTTTTCATTAAACATCTTAGGCTTCCCATATTCCAAACACAAACTTTCAAATATGTGACGTCACAGCCCAAAATTACCTCCTTCCCCAGGCCACATTACTGTCATAAAGCTGATTCGTTTTACTCTGTAGGCACCACAACAAAGTTCAGACCAAGTTTTAAGCGATTTTTCAACGAACAAACCCATTTAAAACAGAATGACTAAACGAGGTGACGTCACACTAACGGTCGCTCCATGTTGAAGATAGGCCCGATAGGGCCTTGTACAAGGCCCATTTTCAAATGAAGGGAACGAATTTCTTCAACACCAAGAGGCCGCGGGGGTTGCAACCTAGATAGATAGTGGTTTTTGAACCTCGCCGCAAACTTGGCTATCTCAACTCAAACCCCATGTTAAAGGAAAAGGGCCACCTTCGTGAAATATGAAGATATCGTTGTTTTTCATTTTGACATTATTATTTTTCATTTTCTTTTTAAAACTGGTGCCAGAAGTGCACAATTCGCGAAAAAGTATTTAATACTATTTAACATATTGGTACTATGTTGATACTCTCTACGGCACCTACTGTATGATGGCATAGCAATGACGTCACACTCAAGCCAATCAGCGTTCAGAAGACAGACTCGTCGGATTGTGTCAGATAAGCTGATTGGTTAAAGCTGAGCTGGTTGGAGCTGATTGGTAAAAAACCAAAGCCTCGCCGCGGGTGGCTGTATTGTCGGATAAGAACGCATTCCTGGGATAAGGACGCATTCCTGGCGTATTTTCTTTTAAAATTGCCGATAACTACGAATGGAGGCCGAAATCGGCCGTAAGGAGGTAGACTGACAGGTTTTCGGACACGGGCTACAAGATGGCTATCTCAGTTTCAATCCCCATGTTAAAGGTGGCCCTTTTCCTTTAAAGGTGGGATAGTCCCTTTAATCAAGGCTGACAAGACAGGTAAGTAATCAATACATCGCGTCGGCATAGCACTGACACACTGCACTTAGGGAAATGGAAGCTGGACATCAACTGACAGCAAAGTCCCTACACTGCGGTCGATAGATACGTCAGGTCTCGGGGGTCATAAATTAACATCGAACAACACTTGGTAGCTGAGATCGTGGAGAGATCGTGGAGACCTAGCTAGTATTTGTTGAGCCTGTCGCTGGAAGCAGTGATCGACCTGTGGCCCTGGGCTATCTTCCCACGGCGGACGTCACGCAGCTTCAGCACGGCCTCCCAGGCGTGGGACGACATTCCCAGGCAGGCGAATATCTGCAAATGGAAGAGAAATAATTCAATACGAGAAAACACAGACATGAAGACAAGCTAATGGAAACAAAATCAGTGGGATGGATATGTTAGGTCATGGCACATGGAGAGCAATGAAATCAACTCCTATCTACAAACAAGTCGTACAGTACAATTTCTCTCAATACAATATAGGTAAGTAATATCCATTCAATGATTCTTATCGATATGTAAACATACCAGTCACAAAACACAGATCCAATAGTAGAGAATGAGAACACAAACACTCACTGTGGCAGCCACCCATGTGGCCTGCAGGTGCCCAAATGAAGTGGCGAGAGCAGCAGCAGTTAGGTAGAGCACACTCCAGCAGCTACTGAAAAACAGCTCCTGACAAAGCACAGGCAATTGTTACGTTAGGACTGTACTTCAATAAACCACAGATGCATGATACAAAATTTTCAGTATAGGTACATTGAATGTAGAAAGTTGAGGTTGATCAAAATGCAAGCAAGAGAAGTAACTGTGAAACATTTGTAGCTTCCTAAAAATGCCTAAAATAACACAATGAGAAAAATACACTTACCATTCCCAGCCAAGGTAAAAAGTGTAGCTTCTCCACAACATGGAAGGCATAGCAGAGCAGCAACAGAAGTGATGTCCAAAAACTAACCAGGCAGACAAAGTAGTACCATGTAGCTCTTGGATGAAGACTCAAGTTGGAGAATGTGATGCAGAGAAATCCACATAAAGCAACAAACTGGAAAAAAGATAATGCATAAAACCAAACCATGTTTTTTTTTTAATAAGTTTGAAAGTCTTTTATTCAATTTACAAATGAAAACAAAGATATCAATTGTGCATTGAAAATGATTTTCTCCTCTGTTCTCTTTGCTGACCTCAATGCAAAGACATCACATCTTTGCAATTTAAAATATGTTGATGCAAAATATTGTACAACACAAAATGTAAAACAATACAAGACAGAAAATACAAAATATATTGTGTTATACGTCTAAAAATAAATGAACAATTAAACAAAATCATCCAACTGAATTACTTAATTAGAATAGCTTTAACCCTGCCCCCTGGGGTGGTTGCCACCCCCCCCCCCCCCCCCCAGGTAGTCTTTCTGCTCTGCAGCCGATTCGCGTTGGCGCACTAAGGCCCTAGTGACACTTGATTTCAAGTGTCACTAGACGATTTCGGTTTGCGCTGAGCCACTAGCCGATTGGTGTAAAATGCCGCTTAGTGTCACTACCATCAAGTGTCACTTGGCCGCCTAGTCTTACTAGCTTCCTAGTGCGCCATCTCGAATCGGCCCCTGCACTCAACATTTTTAGAGCTAGAAGGCTGATTTTTCGTATAGCTGCTCCTCTATCCTTTCTTGATGTCCACTGAAAATTTCAAGTTTCTGTGATTTTTGGTTTCGGGGATATGACCTTGTTTGTCAGGTCATGTCATGACCCAAATGGCCAATTCTCAACATATTGCGTTTGCCATGGGCCTTATGAGCTTTTGACACCCTGATTTCAGCCTTTTTAGCCAGTCTTACCTCCCACCTATCATGGAACATGTTGTTCGACGATGTACAGGGGTCAGGGTCAGGGTCAAGGTCAACCTAGGTCATCTAAGATAATTGTGTTTTAGGCAAGCTGAATTTCCTTTTTGAAGTTTTTTTACTGCATTTTTGGTAAAAGCTTCTCAGATCATGATTTCATGTAATATGGATCCAAAAACAATCGGTGCACACATCAGTATAAACACAGACACACACAGACATACAAACACATATAATTGACCTTGACCTAACTTGACCTGAAATGACCTCAGCAGCAAAATTCTGGTCGGGTAGTGTGACAAAGAGGTTCTAGCTGGCTTGGCACCAGAAAACGGCATCGTCATCGGTATTTGATAAGCAGCACACTTGATATCCAACGGTGACCCAAAACAGCAACATTTTTTAGTTTGACCTGACCTGGAAGGTCAATGACTGACCTGAGAAGGTAAAACTGGGTATCATTGGATTCGTCTCTTCCCAAAGAATCTTTTTGGTCTTTACCGCTAAGCTCTATCTCCAACAGGAACGACATGGCGCGGGGGGGGGTGGCAACCCCCCCCCCCATGTGCGTTCTAGGATGGGAAAATGGCATGTGCGGGCGAGGGTTAACTCTCATCCTTGAAGCCCAAAAAAGTAAGAAAATGGATGAAATGGATGAATAAATAAAAAAGTTTTATCGTCAAAACATATAAAAATGACACGTTGTTACAAGAACAGGTGCCTTGATGCATATTAAAAAATAACACCATGTGATAAGATAATGTATAACACCAAAACAATTGCACAAAACTACAGCACAAATTCATTTCAATCATTCAGATTTCAGAGAACTAGGATTGAAAAATATTTAGAAGTGGAAGGAATGTTCACTGATAAACACCCTCAAAAGATAAAAGGAAATCTATTGAAAATAATACTCACAATTTGCAGCATCTTCAAAGCACCATTCAGAGTATGAAGGTATTTTTTCTCAAATCTTAGCCATGGCAGAACCTTAGTTGTTGCAGCTGTGATGACTGGAGGGCTCAGGCTCGCCATATCACTGATCATGAATGTCATAACAAATTCCAGCCTGAATGCAATATGCAAATCACAAGAAAAGAAACTACCTATCACTTTTCAATATTTCCAGTTTCCACAGGAAAACAAAATTACAAATTAATCCCACATTGACATAGCATTCAATAGACATATTTATGGCTTCCCAAGCGTTCGCCTTGTGCTCTTGAGCTCTGTTCGTAAACGGAAGCCGCTACACGTTTTTAGCAAGTTGCTAGGCATCTGAATTCTGACTTTTTCATTTGAGCCTTGGTTGCTAGGCAACGTCGGTTGAGTTCACGTCAACGAACATGCTGTTATGAATATCTTACGCCTTATCTGTCTAGAATAGTGCTACCAGATTACTTCCAAACTTCTCTATAAATTGAGTACTTTTTGGCGAATGTTTCGAGCCCTTCGAGCGGAAGCGTATTTACAAATTGCAACCGAGCTCCGCCGTGGGGTAAGGGCGGTGTTTCACGGGACGCTGCTACCACGCTACTATCAAATTGCGCGAGCTGACGTCACACTTGTGGTAGTGTTGGAGCAATGGGCCTGTTGATGTTTCCATGGAAACCCAATTTGACACGTGTAAAAGCAGCTTGCTGCTATCACCGGTGAAACAGGGCCAAGGTGGGCAGATGTGGGCAGGGGTTTTCGCACTACGGCTGCGGCTGAACTACCGTCTGTGGTAGAAAGTTCAGGACGATGACGCGTTCCATACGAAATCTGGCGCAATGTTTGCTTGCTTGTGAACTTGTACTGTTATTAGTTCTCTATATACCGTGCTGTTATTGCTGTGAATTCTTGAAGTGGGAGTGTTTCAGTAACAATTTTTGGATTATTTGAGTTTCTTTATATTAACATAGAATAGTTTTATGAAACATTGTGTGGAAACTGCAAATACTCTTATGATCAATTACTTAGTTTGGGAATTGATGCACATTTTGTAGAGAGTTGTCTGGCAAATGGTATAACAAACCTCAAGCCTGTCATGATCTGAAGCTGTTGTAACAAATCAAAATTGCTTTGATGTTCCATAGTACCTTGTTGGAAACTGGAAAGACTGGAGCATGGTTCAAGATGATGTGTAAAAATTCAAGATTTGTGCAAAAGCTTATGACTGAAGAGCGAAAACAGTTCTATGATAATGGCTCAATCATACGTGGAAATGGACGACAAAAGTAGAGTTTCAACATTCCAGCATGTGAGAATAACTTCATGTTCTTGTAGTATTGCATTCTTCTTATGTACAGTTATAGGTTTTGTTAGGGTATTTCAAATTCATTGTGTCAGTTGAGATATAGATGGATTGTGGACAAATTTTAGAATCATTGCATGGTAGCTAGGTACTTGTTCGGTAAAATGGTATGTGATGAATGCCATGAGAAGGTTTTTTATGATTTAATATATGGTCGTTGTTGTACCTACAAAAATGCAAGCTTACTAGCAACTAGTTTCTCAATCAAATCAAAAGTATTTGCCATGAATGTTAATATGTACCTGCAAAGTATGTCAATAAATTTGTGTGATGTTGACCAGAGAGCTTTATCATCTGGGCATTTATGTCGCTTCTTACATTAGGTGTTAAGCATAGTAATTACGGATGAACTTTGTGTCAATATCTTCAATGCACAATGTATGTAGCATGTCTACAACCCTCACTGATCCTGCTATAGCTATAGGCATTTGGCACCAGCAAGACCAAGGGCATGAACTTCACAGTTGCACAACCTTTTGTCATGTACCACCAGTCACTTTTTTACTTAAGGTGCACATAGCATAAGCAGTGCACACAACAATGTGCAGAGGGTCTACACAAAAACAACATGATTAGTGTGCACTATGCACAGCATTGTACCCTGATTATTTGAATATTTTGTTTACTCATCAGTCAACAGTCAGGAGATAATTATTGAAAATCACATTTATTATACAACACTTGTCAAACAAGAGCATGACACACATTTTGACAAGCAATCATGGTAGTATTCCAATAAGTTGGACAGTCACCTCCCTGGGCGTCACTTTTCCAGGAAGGTACCTCTGCAGGTGTTGTGGTAGGCTAGGTTGAATTGGGTTAAGTTAGGCGAAGTAAGGTGGCTAGGACCAGGCCAGACCGTAAGGCCTGGTCAGGTTGATTTTAATCTTTCATTATAATTCGACATAGATGCCTATTACCTATGTTTTTGCTCCAACCTGAATTTCATTAGGTAATGAGTTAATTTTGTTTTGTTTTTATCTGTCTTGTTTTGTGTTTTTGTCCCTTATATTTTGCCCCATATGCAAGGGTGGAACTTTTCCAGGGAAGGTGGTGGAGCATGATTGGAGGCGCTCAACCAGACGGCATAGGAGGGCATGGTTTCTGAACGCGCACTGATGCCTGATTCAAGCCACGATGCTCACCATAGTACACCATAGTAGATAGGAAAGAGGCATAGGGAGCGGATGCTCATAGGATGCTGCCTCTTCTCAATGTCTTCATGCGGGGCGGCGCGCTACTTAAAAGTCCCTAAAAGAACGGGAAGTGATGCCGATAGAACCTTCAATCATTCTGGGCTAACGCTTATGACTTGGAAAAAGTCGCCATCCCAATTCAATCGAAAACCTGTGGGCTCTTGTTCAGCAGGAGGTGTCTGAATAGCCACCCGCCATAAGCACTGCTCAACCGCAGGCACATGGTTTAGACGGCGTTGGTCCGCATCAAAGCCAGTGTGCTGGAGAATCCATTGGCTGAAATGCTCCAGAACATTCGCCACTGTGTTTTTATGAAAGGTGGCTACAAGCTCAGTTAAAAGAAAAAGTACCAGATTGTTTTGCTTTTTAATTACAGCGGGAAAAGAAATGTGTCCGAATAATTTCATTACACCCCCTGTAATGTTCAAATGGTTGCTAAATTCGAAATCAGCTCCAAAAACTAGCCTAGAAACATGTAAAACTCGAAAAAGTGAACCGAGGTCATCAAAGGTCATTGAGCTGACCTGACCTTCAGGTGACCTTGACACCCACCCTAATGCATGGGACCAGCATCATATCACATGTTTCAACGCTTGAAACCACGTGAAGACTGCAACCGCGCGGCTAATGCGAACCGACATACGCCGAATCGCGATTCGGGCCAAACATGGTCTCGAGAAATAGGTCACAGGTCAAAGGTCATTTGGGTCAGGGCCATGAAATTTTCAGGGTAGGTGTAAAATTGATGAAATCGGGGGTATTGAAAGTTTCGTCGCGATCAGACGGTTTTTACGCGAGTTACTCACGAAAAACCGATAAAGCGCACCCAAAAAGGCAGAAATGTACATACACATGCGATATCCTATACTGCGAAAAAAGGTGCATCATTTTTGAACGTCGCCGACAAATTGTAATTACCCTAAGCTCAGGCAGATGTATGGTAGAAAATCCCCCAAGTGAAATACACTACGGCGGAAATAAAATACCCTACGGCGGAGCTCGGTTGCAATTTGTAAATACGCCGAGCGGAACCCGGCAATTTGCCGGCAATGTTATCTGGGCCATTCTTATAAAGAAAAGAACGGAGGGACGCTCCGTCATTTCTGAGATTAGACGGAATTTGGTTATCATAAAAGGACAAAGACGAAAGACGGAACCCGTTAAAAGAACGAAGCCAGTTTGACGCTACCCCAACCCAAAAGGATGCGTTTCCGTATCATAAAGAGACAAAGACGCCTCTGGTGACGTAAGACTTTGCGTTGTTCGTGAAAAATAACGCATCAGAAATAGCGCTGCTCTTCAGCAGCGCTTTTTTACGGTATTGATACGATATTTAGCTGGTTTATTATTATTATTATTTTATTATTTCATATTCCCACTAACCGGTTGCGAGAACAACTTGTGCGAAATGTGTTTCAGGCTGCATGCTAATCGATATGTGAACTGTATGACATTGGTCGGGAGTTTTTTGACACGAAAATTAGTCAATTTGACATTAGACCGCCACCTTATCGCTCTGGACTGCAGCTATCGTTGTTTAGCGGGCATACACCAAGGCCGTATAAGAGATTAACAGGCAGGATTGGACACCTTGAGATGCAATATCCAGTAAGTGGTAGGTGTTTACTGTTTGCAACTGCCTCCCAGTAGCTCCACCCTCACCTGGCCTGTGTCCTGTGTCCTCTGACGCCTCGACTGGTATCACGATTGGAGGTCTGAGTCACGTGGCACTACAACTTCTCGTTAGCACTTAAAGTTCTTGTTTGCACGCAAAGAAATTCGTATACACTCCGCCAGGCTCAAGCGCTCTCGCTGGACTGTCCTCACTGTCCCCACTCACAGAGAAGATCCACAGGAAATTTCTTCCCCCGCTCCCCCTCCCCCCTCTTTAGCGTCAATCCGTCAAAACAACACCTGCGCCCCCCGTCTCTCTCTTTACCTACTCCTTCCCTCTCTCCCTCCCTTTCATCCCGAGCCGCCGCGCGCGTTCGCCGCGCGCCGCGTCGTCCCCTAGAGCGATAAGATGCCTTATCAGTATCCCCTCCTCTTTTATCTTTACCGCCTGTCCCGAGCCGCCACGCTAACTCAGGGTGTCTGCATTGTTCCCTTACCGCTTATTAGACACCCTATCACTGAGTAAGACATAGGCATTACCACATTTGTACGCAAAAACAATCTTTGGTGGGTTTCAGCCTAGCAGGGAAGACTACAACATATTACATACTTCGCCTATCTATATTATCCTTGATCGTAGCCAAGGCTATGCATCGTAGCAGACAACAGCCCCCGGTCCCATAAAAATTCAAATATGATCCCACATAATTGCAGGTTCTCATTTTATTAAACCTATATAGCGATCACAGAATATTTTCTTAGTCTTATTGCATTTTTTTGTGACGAAATTTATAAGAAAATATTGCAGGAAATAATTCCTGTTTCATTTACTAAAGCTCTTGATCATTTAGACGAAAAACGCATCCTAGCAAAACAACGAAGGGGGAGGGGTAGAGGGACGGAACCTTTATGATAACCAAGAAGGACGGAATCGTTTAATTCATTGAGTTCTTTTTTTCCTTCCGTCCCTCCGTCCTTTTTCTTTATAAGAATGGCAATGGGCGTCGTTTCACAGGACGCTGTTACCACACTGCTATTCCATTTCGCGAGCTGACGTCAAGCTTGTGGCAGTGTTGGAAAAATCGGCTTGTTGACGTCTCCATGGAAGCCCAATTTGACACGTCTAATAGCATCGCGCTGCTATCATCCATGAAACACCACCCTGATGACTGATCCCCATAGCATACCCACACCGATGCTCACGATCCTTTGATTCTCAAGATTGTATTGTATTGTATTGTATTTACATTTAAGAGCGATCCACATACAAAGTGCGTGGCGATTACTGCTCAGAATCCGTATCCGCGGTTGCTAATCTAATCATTCAAAACAGTTGCACATTCACTCACGTCAAAACTAGGACAAAACACTCTCAGGACAGCCTCATCGCTTTTACCCACCCCTATCCTATTGGTCAGCGACGATGTGCTGATTCATCGTCCACGATTGCGGCTTTAACAGCGCGGGCGAAGCGGGCGGGAGGCAGCTGCGACAGGTGAGGTGGCAGGCTGTTCAGCAGAGCTGCAGCTCGATAGCCAAACCGCCGCTTGCCCGTTTCCAGCCGTGGACGGGGAAGATGGAAGAAGTGATCTTGTCTGGATGGTCTCTCGCGGATAGCGCTATTAGCGACGAACAGGGCTGCTAGTTGCTCAGGTTCACGGCGCTGTATGACCTTGTGTGCGATGACAAGGGTGTGGAAATCGGACATACCGCGCGGGGACAACCACCCGAGTTTTGTTCGCAGGTCGGAGACATGGTCAAATTTACGGCGGCCGAAAATAACTCTAGCGGCGAAGTTAAGAATTTTTTGGAGTCGATCGAAATTTTTTTGGGACCCATTACCATAAACTGAAAGGCAGTACTGGATACGCGATACAACGAGTGCCGTCACGAGCGTTCGAATGATGCCATCTGGGAGACAGTGGCGCGCATGTGAAAGACCAATCAACAGTCCCGTACACCGGCGGCAGAGTTCAGAGACGTGTGCGTCCCATGACATAGTGCTGTCAAAAGTGACGCCAAGGTTCCCGACTTGTGCGCACGGTTGCAACGCTGCGTTGCGGAATGGTACTCTAAAGTCTGGTAATTTACGAAGATTTTGACGAGTGCCAAATACAATAAGCTGTGTTTTACTTGCGTTCACTTTGAGGGCGTTAGCGCAAAACCAGTCGTTGAGAGACGCGAGCGAGTCCTCCATGCGCGAGATGAGAACTTCGAGGTCCCGAGCTGGACCGCTAACCAATACTTGAGTGTCATCGGCATACTGAAACACTTTTGCGTCGCCCGCGTATAGCGATAAGTTGTTAGAGAAAATGGTGAAAAGAAGCGGCCCTAACGCAGAGCCCTGGAAGACACCCATGGCATTAGAAAGAGGCCTAGACAGCACTCTACGTCCGGATACATCTTTCAAAGACACGCTCTGAGTGTGTCCATGTAGATAGGCGGCGAACCAGGAAATTTCAATGCCGTGTAACATCAGTTTTTGCATCAGAAGATCGTGGTCAATCACGTCGAAACATTTACTGAGATCGAGAAGGCATAGCATTGACAAATCCCCCCTATCAGTGGCGGCCAGGATGTGTTCAGTGACAGACAGCAACGCGGTTTCCGTGGAGTGCCGGGGGCGGAAGCCGTGCTGGGAGGATGCCAGAAGGTGATTATAGGTAGGCGTAGAGCTGCTGATGGACAATGCGTTCAACTACTTTCATGATTACAGGAACTAGGGAAATGGGTCGGAAGTTTGCGGGGTCTGAACTGAAGGGTTACCAGACTTGAACAGAGGGTGAACTATGGAATGTTTCCATGAATCGGGGATGTCAGATTGGATTAAGCAGGTATTGATAATATGCAGGATGACACCACCAATAGCGGGGAATCCGAATTTCAGCATGCGGACACACACGTTATCGGAGCCGCAGGCACTCGAGTTACGCATGCTGAAAATAATCCGCTCGAGCTCCCCCAGTGTTATCTCACGAAGTTGAAAACTGCATGCGCCGACACGGGTGAGACGCACATCCAAATCGGTGGGAGTGTTTTGGGCTCGGATCTCGTCAGCGACACGAGGACCGACAGATACATAAAATGAATTTAAATCATCGGCAGATAGATCGGGCTGGACGTCTGGGCCGTCCTTCTTCGCGGCTACCACTGACCTGATGCACTGCCAAACTTTGTTGGGGCCCCGCTCCCCAATTTCCCTCCGTATCTCTATTCGCGTGAATCGTTCTCCTCAAAACCCCTGTATTGGGATGGACGGTTACCACTTGCCACCATCAGACGAAGGCAGCTCAAGAAACGGGCTCTAGTGCGAATATGGGTGACAAGCGCGGCTGAGTCGCCGCCTGGTCACGGCTATACCTACCAATAACTCAGCTTGTCCTTTACGACAGTCTCAAACACTCTATTCGCTAACCGAACAAACTGATTCCTAATGCCTATTGGAGACCAATTTCAATTTCATGATGCTGAATTGGCCTGCATTAATCGTAGTCGTAGACTGGGAATGCCCAAGATGTTCAACAGATGGCTTAAACACTGTTTCATTAAAAAATATGATTCAATACGTGACTGGCAATGTTCCGTGGTGGAGACACCGTCTCGGTCATCGAATAATATCGTAAATACCCAGCTAGGCCGAGCGCCGTTTCGTTCAATGGTGAATTTGAAGAACACATAATTCTGCCTGCAGAAGTGACATAACCGTTCAATGAGAAATAACGTTAAAAGTTTCACCCTTTTCAGCCACGCGAGCTGTTATCACTGCCGACATAGATAGTGTGAGAAACATCACAGCCATCACTAGATAAAATATTTATTCGTCGAGCACACTTTTTCCGACCACGGTAGTATCGCGTTTCTGTAGCAGTCGCAGCTGCTTCTTCTTCATCCGTTTGATCTTGTTGGGGTTCTTCACCACCTGGTACACCTCCGCCTTCAGCGCGTTCTCCGCCGCCTTCTTGGCGTTGTACTCGCGTCGCTTCCGCAGGTCCTCCAGCTTCTGTTTCCGCTCGTTCTTCAACTGGTTCTCCAGCTCCTTCACCACCCGCTCCCTCTGCCGCTTCTGCATCCGCACCTCGTAGCTGACCGGGTCTTTGACCACCACCCGTGACGCCGGCGTCCGCACCGACTTCCAGAACCGGCCCGACTTGGCCAGGCCGCGCGGCGCAGGCGCCGGTCGGACGCGGGTCAGGGCGGGCACGGGGGCTGCCGGGGCGGCCGCGGGGGCGTTCACGGGGGCTGGGCGGGCCGCGGCGCCCACAGCGGCCAGCACCCGCTGCGCAGCGGCCACGCGCCGCGCCGCCTCCCGCTCCTCAGCACTGCTCTCCGCGGCGTCCACTCGCTCCACGTCTACGACCTCGTCCTCCCCGTCCACTTCCATGGCCAGTTCGGCGGCGTCTGTCTCCGCGCACTTTGAAACGGGCTCTGTGGCGGGTTCTGTGGCGTCTGAAGGCACTTCTTTGCCCTCTGAAACTTTCTTCACAGATTCTGATGACGAAGATTCGATATTTTCAGATCCATCCTCGTTTGACCTATCCATGCTCTGTGAGGCATTTTCGGCTGTTTCTTCCGCTTCTATAGCTTCATCTTCACTCGAGTTCGACGCAGTCGGCGTTGAGCTGATAATCGATTTTATTTTTGTCTCACCCTCTGTTGCTTTGGCTGTACTTTTCGCTGCACCATCTGCTGTTAGATCCACCGTGCTTTCTGCAGCCTCCCTACCAGTTTCAGCTGTCGCCGCCTCCCCCGGGACACACAGTGTTGCTGCCGTCTCTTTCCTCTTCTCGTTGCTCCCGCCACCCTGTTTTTCCGGTTTGGACAGAGTCGTGGTCTCCTCCTCGACCGGTTTCAGCTTGCTGGCCGCCTCTCCGCGGTACTTTTCCAGCAGGACCTTGGTGCGGTGACCACGCGCCGGACCACTCTCCTCGGCGGACCCGGCCGACCCCAGCGGCGTCAGGGAGGAGGCGCGTCGGCTCCGCCGCGGAGAGGCCGCCGCCGGCGGGTCGCAGAGCGAACTGTGACGGGCTCGAGCGGCCGCGGCCGGGGAGGGCGCCGCCGCCACGTCCGGCGAGGGCTGGTAGCTCTTCCTTCTTGTGCTGACCATGGCTATGGTTTGGTCAGCTCACTGACCAGCCTGTGGGGAGGGAGATGTGTTAGCAAAGCACCAGTACCTACCTACTGCGGAGAGCATCTGCAGAAAGAAATGCCCTCTGCTCAAAACACATGGAAGTGTGAGAAAATAAATATCATATTTATCCTGTATGGTACAACAATGCATGTCTAATCAGTTTTGGGGACACCCTATGATCAAGAAACAATGACACTGACAAGAAAGGACAACTCCATCATTTTTAAGATTAGGTATCCCTAAGATGATCTGATCATCTGAATATATTGTATTTTGTAATATGTGGAGTCATTGTGTCAGTGAATCCCTGTTGAAGCAGTTCAGTTGTTGCTTGTTAATAAACAGTTTTTGAGTCTGCCAAATGGGTCTGTTAACTGCAAGGCTGCTTCCTGATATGTGCTGCCCCTCTAATTAGCTTTCTGGGTCTGCCAAATGGGTCTGTTAAGTGTTAACTGCAAGGCTGCTTCCTGATGATATGTACTGCCCCTCTGATTAGCAAGAGACAGCCTTTGTGAATCCTTAAAGGGACCCTCCCACCTTCAAAAAAGTTAATGAATTGGCATGAAAGTGATGTCGCTCGGTTCAGAAAGAGCAAAAACGAATATCTACCAAATTTCATCGAAAAATATTCACCGGTTTTCAAGATATTAGACTTTTACTTTTGTTTACTTTTTGGGATCTCCGCTGTTCCTAGCGACTTTATTTGAAAGTGCGGCATTTGTTGCGCGCAAAGCAGCATATACCACCGCGTGCTACAAAACGTTTTAGTCAAACATTTAACGGACGTTCGAAAGCCTGATGACGTCATCAGATTCCCGTAATGGTTAAGAGATAGGGACCACGCTGGTCCCACCCTGCAAGTAAAGGGAAGAAATTTCTTGAACACCATAAAGCTGCGGGGGTTGCGACCAGGATAAATGGTGGTTTCTGAGCCTGGCCGCAAACTTGGCTATCTCAACTCAAAACTAATGTTAAGGTGGGAGGGTCCCTTTAACAACCTTGCAGCTGACCACACAGTTTCCAGTTGTGGAAGCTCTCAAAAGCGGCCCATCAAGATGAATGACATCAACTGGATGTGGTTGCCTGTTTCAACCAATAACAGAATAAATAAGGTTAGGTGAGGTTAAATTTGGTTAAATTAGACTAGCTTGGATAAGGTCAGGCTGGGATGAAAGTTTCAAATGCAAACATCTGTGCTGACATTTAGTTCATTTATTTATGCCTTAAAGTGTCATCAGTAATTACCTAGTGGTTAAGTCAAAAACACCTGCAACCTGAGCCCTGCTTTAAGGCATGCCGCTGCAGGGTGCAGTGCAATGCTGCTGTATTGGTGCAGCGTTTCAGACTAATTCGCCTTGGCGCCCAAGCCTTGCAAGCATCTAAGCTAATTGATGTTTCCATGGAAATCCAATACACCACTACACGCACGGACGCAATGCACTGTAACATCATGCCTTGAAACAGGGTCCCTGCATGCAGCAATTTCTTTTGCTTCTACTGTCCACCAATTAGTGATACAATACAAAAGTCTACCATGTTTGAAGCAATTCTTTCAAAACATTTATAACTTTTAGTTTATAACAAGACTGAGACTGTTCCTGAATTTGATGATATACACCATACACAGAGTCATGAAAGCATTAAAATATAGCCATGCGAATCGCAGGCGACGCAGGGGACAACACACACACACATCTATTTCCACTTTGGAAAATATTCCTTGTAAAATAACCATTCTGCATCCTAACCTCCAAGCCGAAAGAAAGTAAAGCGATGATCATACATAGCGAATACAATGACTGAAAGCATTTTTGGGGATTTAGAACATCTGACGTTTAAAAACACAAATATATTTTTGTTACCTCTGAATGAACGCAGTTTTCTGATAAAAAATCGAACGATCAGACGATAAGCAGCTAAAAGGTTAACTAGTATTCTATAAATCTTAATCTTTAAATCTAATCTATAAATAAATGTAAAACATATTATATGTCCTGATGATGTCATCTGCAAACCATAAGCAACATTTCATATTTTACGCTGCCATATGAAGGTAGCCTTAAAATAAACATGTGCTTTTTTGACTCTTTTGCGCCATGAATGTATGCAGAATATTTTGAAGTTATGCGCATACGATTTTCATGTCAGGATTTCTATTTTCTTTGCTGCAATTTTCAGGTACCCAATTCATATAAAATGATATGAACATGGGATCAATAAGGCGCCTCTAAAGCATGCGAGATGCCCCCAAAAAAAGATTGATACAAAATTTCAGCCAACCAGAGCTCGCTTTGCGATTACGTCACAAATTAGAGTGACTGGTTCAACTTATAATTGTAGCTTGTTTCCGGCTGTGTGTGAAAAAAGATTGTGGCGCTCTGTGTGTGTGAGAGAGGGTGTGTGGCGCGGTCGGTTATTTAATATTTTTAATTGCAATTTTCCAGTGTTTGTTATTTATATATATGTTTCCTGGTAGTCATAGACTTATGAGAGCTGAGTGTCAATTGCAATTTTCCATAATGTTTTATATACTGATACTCTTCAGTTGGGCAAACTAGACTTTTGGAATCAAAATATGGAGGCATCAATAATTTGATTCTGGTGGGAGGAGCCATGACCAAATATGGGCATGGAATCAATATTTTGATTCATTTGGGTACACTTTTGACTTCAAATGCATCGTTACGGTCGAAAAAGGGCCCATGACGGTGAGATTTTTCTTTAAAAAGGTATAAAAATGTGGTAGGCTTGCAAAAAGTGTTACCTCAAAACTAAGAAATTGTCCCTTTGGCCTTGTGAATGGGAAAAAGACAGAGCCACTGTCCATCACGTAAAAGCTGTTTTAAGGAAATCACACTGTATGCTATTTTGTATTGTGAATCACATACTAAACAATCAGTATTTGTGTATAATGGCAAAATGAAATTTTCAAACCCCTAATTATCATTGTTGTAGTGCTTTTATATTTATTATGTGGTTTTTACCTGTTGCTTCCGTTTTTGTGTTATTGACATTTAAAAATTGTGAATTGTTATCAAATGTAGTGAAGGTAAAGTACAACAATGCTATAGGTATCTGTTGTGGTGCTGAGGATACCACTAAATGAGAATAATAGCAAGATAAATGATGTATTCTTGCAAGTCATTGTTGCCTATCTGTTAACATTACCTGTGAATCAAAATAATGATTAGCCAGGTGATGAGGAATCAATATTATGATTATCTGTTTAAAGTGAATCAATTCCTTGATTGCCTTTCACTACCTATAGAGTTCAAATTGTTATGATAGGAGCAATATTATTTTGCTTAGGAGGTAGTTCCAGCATTTCTGTTCAAGATCAGACATGCTCCTTCTTGAAACACTCTCTTATTTTTATGTGATTGGTAAGTTAGAAATGGTCTGCATTTATGCCCAAATATGGTCATAAGGAATCAATCTTTTGATGCCTCCATATTTTGATTCCAAAGGTCTAGTTTGCCCAACTGTCTTGCTGCCTGTCTTAGTTGCCTGTCGTCTTCTTCACTGATTCCTCCGTTTGTGTTTTTTGCAATTTATTTTTCAACATTCTATCTGAGTGTGTTAGCCACAATCACAGTTTGTACCAGCTGCCTAATTGTTTGTATGCGTAATCCTAGTCTTCGTTCAGCACTTGTAGGTACCGCCAAAAGTAGAAATGCAATGGCTTTATTCAACTAAATTTGACATGTGCATGTGTGCCTGGGGACAAAACAGAAAACAACTAGTATTAGTGCTAGTAAGTACACCAAAGTGCACCACATTCAGACGGTTACCTAACTAACGGGCAGTTTACCACATTCTCCCCTGCTGTGCTAAAAAGACATGAATAGGCAGTTATCAAACAGCCATACAACAATGAACAAACAGTCATACCTTACAGGCACCTTTGTTCACAATTTCATAAGATAAGGCACATGACTGGCTTTGATGTGCATCTTAGTATACATGTTCTCATATGTTAAGGCGTACCACTGGCATTCTTGTATAGTTAGACCAACGTGGTTCAGTCGCCGGTTCTGACTGGTTCAATGGCAGCACGCTTGATTGGGGTTGTGGGTGATGTGGCACGCCCAGGGATGATGCCCCGAGGGCTCTGAGCGAAGCGACAAGCCTGGAGACTGCATGCCCTAAGACGGTGCATCCAAGGGCTCCAAACGAACACCTGGGGACCCCGGCCGGCTTGCTCGTTGCCTTCTCTTCTCATTTCCTTGCTAGTTGCTGCTGTGCACAACTGCCAGGGGCGAGGTCTTGCAGAAAGACTGTGTTGAACTTGCCGCCCGGATAGCGCATGAAAGCCTAGTGCGAAAGTGGGTTGACCTCCAGGCTCCAGGATTTCGACTGGCTCAACGGGCAGGTCGAGCTTTTCTCGGACGTATTTCTTCAAGAGAACCTGCCCGGGATTGAGGAGCCAGGACGGTAGCGAAGTCCCCGTGGCAGACCGCCGTTGGAAAGAGAACATCCTTTCTTATGGGGGTGGCATTTTGTTGCTGTGCACAACAGAGACCAGATAGAATGCAAGACGTCAGGCAGGACGACGTCCCATTGTCCTCTGCTCAACTTCCTGCTCTCCATAGCGAGTTGAACGGCACGCCAGATGGTGCCGTTAAGCCGCTCACATTGTGAGCTGCCTTCGGGGTGGTACGGTGTCGTGCGACTCGTGGTGATCCCCAGTCCTGTCAGGAAGGATCGAAGCTCAGCTGACATGAAAGCTGAACCGCGGTCGGAGGTATGCCGCATCCCGAAGATGGAGAGGAGATGAGTGAGACATTTGATCACGGTGGCGGCTGTCATATCTAGGCAGGGTTAGGCGAATCGGAGCCGGGAGAACTCGTCGATCGACGATCATAGTGAGGATGTACGTACTGGCTGCCGTTCGGACCGGACTTGTGGATAGGGGACCTTTGAAGTCCACGTTGATTCTCTCAAATGGAGATTTAGTCTTCAGCCGCTTCGCGGAGGAGGCCCTGAAGAAGTTCGGCTTACATCGACAGCAGACCGGGCAGTTGGAGGTGACGCGGCGCACGTCATCCACGGAGTAGGGCAGATTCTTGCTGCGCACGAAGTGCAGCGTCCTCGCTACTCCGGGGTGAACAAGAGACTTGTACAGCAGCTGCTCCAGGGCTGGATATGAGGCGGCTGCGCAGTGGGCGCGGCTGAACGTATCAGCAGGAATGTTTTCTCGTCCTGTCTAGTACCTTATGTTGATCGAGGACGCTGAAGGAACTGTTTTCCCGACCTTGTTGACGAGTTCGCCGACGATCGGCAGCGGATACGCGTCCAGTTCAGTGAATCTGTTGCCAGTTTGAGAGAAATCAACGACCATCCTTTTCTTCTTGTTTTCGGTGTGTGTGACGACAGCTTGGGCACGCCAGGGTGAGCGGCTTGGCTCGATGACGCCCTCGTTTAGCAGGTGTTGCACTTCGTTCTCAACGAACTTGAACAATGAATTGCTCTGGTCGCGATAGGGTGGCAGTTGGAGGATACCGCCTGACTGACTTTCATCTGCGCGAGATTGCAGATGCTGAGCTCGTGTTCGTCGCCACCGAGCTCCAGGGTTACACCCTCGTGTCTACGGAGGAACGGCATGCCGAGAATGACGTCCGTGCAGAGATCCGGGAGGATGGACAGTTCGACCTCCCGGTACTCCCGATCGTCAACGGTCACGGTTGACACGCATTGTCCTCGCACCTCTGAGAGATTGGACGATGCCATGGAGACTTTAGACGATCGTGGCAGTACCTTCATGCCGAGTGCGGGAACGAGCTTTGCGCTGATGAAGTTGTCAGAGCTCCCTGTGTCAATGAGAGCTGTGACCTGACATCCGTTGACTCTCGCGCTCAGCGACGGCAGAGTTTGAGGCTGCGAGCGTGGGCGAGAGCTCCGGCTGGCGAGGTTCTTCGGGGTAGGACTCGTACTCCTCCTGTACGGCCGACGCGTTAGCCACTTTCGACTTGGAGCGGCACACCTTCTGCCAGTGTCCGAATTTGCCGCACTTCCCACAGGTTGAGTTTCTTGCAGGACAGGCTGCTCGTTGGTGGCGCGATGCTCTATGGCGGTGACGGCGGCGAAGTTACAGTCACCCGCCGGCCGCCAGGTTGTTCAAAGCCAGAAGGTACTCGTCGATGTTTTCTTCTGGCTTTTGGTGCCTCGAGTAGGTGCCGCGCATGTATTTCGTTTGGCGTTTTCAGATATGCAACGTCGAGTTGCTTCAGGGCTGCGTCGTACGTCTGACAGTCGCCAATCACGTCTACGATTTCTGGTCCGATATGGAGAAAGAGTGGCTCGAGCTTGTCCGGATTGTGACTTTCGATATTCGTCAAGAAGTACTTAAATCCTCGGAGCCAGACCTTCCATTTCTTGTGAGCTTGAGTATGGTTTGGAGGGACGTCGAACTTGTCTGGTCTGGCGATCCTCTCCATGTTTGGTCATGTATTTAGTTGAATAAATTGTGGTACCAAAAGTTTTAGTGGAATTGCTATGGCTTTATTCGACTTAATTCGACATATGTGTGTGTGCCTGGGGACGAAAAATAAAAATAAAACGAGTATTAATAGGAACACCAAGTGCACAACCTTCGGACAGTTAGCGGGCGGTTTGCCAAAATGATCTTGTTTTGTGAATTTCTTTAGATTTTAAAGGGTGCAAAAGACGAAATAAAGGAGGAATTAGTTCCAGGTAAACCTGGAACCTGAAAGCTGGCAAATACCTGACCTGAAACCTGAAAGCTAGGTTTCTATTTAATGGCCTACGCTTGCCTCTTATTTTAGAGTGTTGGTGGTGGGCCAAACCGACTATTTTTACTCCATTACTGGCCATTGTCAGGATGAGAGCCTCATTTGGGGCCATTATGAACCAACAGCAGGGGTGAGTACCTCTCCACAGAGACTGCGGCTCCAGTTTCCTATAACCAGCTGTGTAATTTCTTCTGTGATTGACAATCTGCCCTTCATTTCAGGTTGACCTCTGGGGAAGAGACTGCAAATAAAATGGCCTAAACAGTTGCTATGTACTTAAAATGCAAACTCTATATGCCATTAGCGCGATCCAAATGACCTGTGCTTAGCGGCCAGCTTTGTTACGTTTGAGACCATCCACATTATCATAATGGTGCAGTCCAGAAGGGAAGTAAGAATTCTGCTGCTGGGAGAGCCCGGAGTGGGGAAAACTTCGCTCATCCTGTCACTGGTAAGTTGTTAATTTCGGATAAATCGTAGTATTTCCAAAAGTACCTAATGTCTTGATTCCCTATGAAAAGCAGTTCCAAGCCTTTGGGCTTGGGAGTGCCTGCTGCCTGTGTTGTTAAGTGTTGATTACATGGTCTTGGTATTGATTTCTGCAATTATTTGCTTTGTGATTTAAGTTTTCAGCTTTGTCAAAATCGATTCATTATTTCTGATTTGTTGTTCATTGAATTTCTATTGTCTAAGTAACTCAATCACAGCTAAACATCAGATGAATCTGGTGAATCGTCTGTAATTTGTTGGTGATTTGTCTGGCTGTCGTATACACCAATTACTCCTGCCCGGGTGAGCTGCGGATGAATAATGAATGCTATAGTGGCGAAAAATCCAAACGATTCATTGACTACTATCCGTTCAGCTCCCCATTGGTTTCTCTTAATTCCCACCATAGTAACACTAAGTATGGTGCAATGAATGGGACCGATCTTACCGCCGCCGCGGCCGGTTTGAGGAGCAAATACCGAGCGCTGCGGAGAATCGAACCGCCCCCTATCCGTCGGTCTGCTGAGCTCTAACCGCGTTGACGCCCTGTCAACTCACCGTCGGTTCCATTCGACCACGGCCAGTGCCAAGAAACGCGATCAGAGGGTGGATGTAAATGATGACAGAGAACAAATAAACATGCACTGTGGCCAAGGGCACTGGAGCGGTGCGTCTTTGGAAGGACAGTCTCATTGCATGGCTGTTGGGGTTGACATTGCAATATGTATGTGATTGTTGACATTGTAATATTGGCGACATTGTAATGTGTTTGTTATGACCGTTGCTCGTTTAACCTTGGCAGATTACACGACTATTTTTTATCGATAACAGATGTTATTGTCTTATCAGCCAACTAAGTGGTATATTCAACAACTGTCTGCATCGTACTGAAATCGTAATCTGATCTATGGCACGGCGACATTTTGTCGTCCTTATCCGTAACATATACCTACCTATCTATCTATGCGGTATCTATGCGACAGACCATTTGGTCTCCAAGCGTGCAAATTTAGGTTAATTAACTTCCAATATTGTGCTCTATGATTTGATGCTAGGCTATGGACAAAATTTTAAAAAATATGTGAGTGTTTATCCCATAATATTTCCATATTTCTTTTCACTTCCTCGGAATTAGCAGAGTATTTGGTCGGCAAGGGGCTGATACGGTGTCTAGTGTGGCTGCTGATTCCCACTGGGGCACCTCTCTGTTGGTAAGCGGGGATGCAGCTTTTGTCTGTGTTTTCGACTGCTGTCTGTACTGCCGTCTTTACCGCTATCTGTGTGTGCCCTTCCCTGCTGTCTGTGCTCGATTCTTACCTGAATTTCCCCTCCCCTCCACAGGCGAGCGGGGAGTTTCGCGTCGAGATGTTGTTTGTGTCTGTGACCGCTGTCTGTGTATGGTGTCTGATTCCCACCTGAATACCCCCTCCGCAGGTCAGTGAAGAGTTTCCCGAGGAGGTACCGGCCCGGTCGGAGGAGATCACCATCCCCGCCGACGTGACGCCCGAAAAGGTGCCCACGCACATCGTCGACTACTCGTGTAAGTGTGACAAAACAATGTATTCAAAGGTGCCCACACACATCGTCGACTACTCGTGTAAGTGTGACAAAACAATGTATTCAAAGGTGCCCACACACATCGTCGACTACTCGTGTAAGTGTGACAAAACAGTGTATTCAAAGGTGCCCACGCACATCGTCGACTACTCGTGTAAGTGTGACAAAACAATGTATTCAAAGGTGCCCACGCACATCGTCGACTACTCGTGTAAGTGTGACAAAACAGTGTATTCAAAGGTCCCCACACACATCGTCGACTACTCGTGTAAGTGTGACAAAACAGTATATTCAAAGGTGCCCACACACATCGTCGACTACTCGTGTAAGTGTGACACATCCCATCACTATATTCACTGTATTCAAAGGTGCCCACGCACATCGTCGACTACTCGTGTAAGTGTGACACATCCCATCTCTGTAAACAGTGTATTCAAAGGTGCCCACGCACATCGTCGACTACTCGTGTAAGTGTGACACATCCCATCTCTGTAAACAGTGTATTCAAAGGTGCCCACGCACATCGTCGACTACTCATGTAAGTGTGACAAAACAGTGTATTCAAAGGTGCCCACGCACATCGTCGACTACTCGTGTAAGTGTGACAAAACAGTGTATTCAAAGGTGCCCACGCACATCGTCGACTACTCGTGTAAGTGTGACAAAACAGTGTATTCAAAGGTGCCCACACACATCGTCGACTACTCGTGTAAGTGTGACACATCCCATCACTATATTCACTGTATTCAAAGGTGCCCACGCACATCGTCGACTACTCGTGTAAGTGTGACACATCCCATCTCTGTAAACAGTGTATTCAAAGGTGCCCACGCACATCGTCGACTACTCATGTAAGTGTGACAAAACAGTGTATTCAAAGGTGCCCACGCACATCGTCGACTACTCGTGTAAGTGTGACATACCCCATCACTATATTCACTGTATTCAAAGGTGCCCACGCACATCGTCGACTACTCGTGTAAGTGTGACTCAACCCAGTCTAATTTATCCACAATGTTCTGAACTTGTGATGTTGTTATGGTTTGATTTTAAAGTTGAAAGAACATTGTGGGTGTTCTGACCAGCTTAATGAGTAGCTATATGTGAATGAATGAATGAATGAATGAATGAATGAATGAATGAATGAATGAATGAATGAATGAATGAATGAATCTGAATGCTTTACGAACGGTGACTTAGAATGTATGTCATTGTGTCGTTTATTCATTCATTGATTCACTCAGTCATTCATTATTAATTCATTATTCCGTTCTTTCATCCACGAATAATTGCTCATCAAGCCGATCAGTGCCGTAGTTGAACTCCTGTATAAGTGGCACCCCGTCTCCCAATTGGGTCTAGCTAGTTCCGGTGTCGTCTGTGCCTCCGTTAGGCTGGATCATGTTGTCTGTCAGTAGTTGAACTGTCGAGTCTAGTATTGATGACCGACATCTCCTCCCCCCCCCCCCTGCAGCTCTGGAGCAGATATTGACACCCGCTCCGGCAGTCCCTGGTCTAGATACCTACTGACATACTGACACCCCATACATACTGACCCTCCCCCTTGCCTTTGGCAGCCCTGGAGCAGACAGAGGACCAGCTACTGGCCGAGATTCTGACATACTGACACCCCCCTCCCCCCCCCCACACACACATACTGACACCCCTCCCCTCCCGACATCCCTGGAGCAGACAGAGGACCAGCTGCTGGCGGAGATACTGACACCCCATACTGACGTCTCCCCACATACACGCATACTGACAGCCCTTCCCCCCGGGCAGCTCTGGAGCAGACAGAAGACCAGCTGCTGGCGGAGATACTCCGAGCACACGTCATCTGCGTCATCTACGCCGTCGACGATGAGGACACCCTGGACAAGGTAGGGCAATTGGGAGGTGTGCGGTACATAAATTTCGGTTATTGCATTGTAGAGCGGCAGATGTGCTGACGGCTCAGGCCTCAGAGCTAGGAAGATGGGGCTGAATGACCGGCTCCAGGTTGCCGCCCTGGATGGCTGGTTTTGAAGACATCTTTCGTCTGCCTCTTTCTTTAGAGTTGTTTGCTCTCTTCTCTACCTCTTCCTCTCGCACTTTTCCTCTAATTATTACAACTGAAATTGACTTCCAATGTCACTTAGTTATGTAGCCAGCTTTAGGGGCATTGCTGGTAGCCGGTAAGGCCATGAAGAAAGCCTGCTGAAATTTCAACGGGCTCAGGCTGCAGGCTTTCGTCAGAGTCAGAGTCAGTCTCGACTCTCGGGCCAATATTTTTTTGTTCACACGAATTTCATAATACTGGCGCGGCTGTGTCGTTTCGTCATACCCACGGCTGCCAGCTGGCTGCCATTTATACCGGCTATGACGTACTCCGTACTATTGTTAGTTGTTACTGCTGTTGTTTGTATGTTTTACATGTCGCCAATAAACACAGGTGTTCAAAACGCGTCAATTTCGGCAGTACCTGTTTGGACCTTCTTCGACCTACCTATGTATCGTCTGTTTAGTTATTTTAGCCCAGTCTACTGTTTAGCTCAGATATAATGGAAAGGAGAGATATACAAAATACAAATTTATCGTGTATAAATGTTTCGAACTCACTGTGTGTTGGCTCCTAGCTCAATTATCTGCCCTCCCATCCACAGTGCACCTATATTGTCTAAAACTTGTCATGTACATTGTACATTTCATGTTTACATATTTTCACTCACCATTATGTAATCATTCACACGCTACCTGTGATCAGTGTCTGAGCCACGGTGTTGGCCATTGTGGTCTACCGTGTGCTGACGGTTTCCCTTCTTTGCCAGGTGACGGACTACTGGCTGCCGCTGGTGCGTCAAACTCTGGGGGAAGAGCACTCGACGCCCGTCATACTGGTCGGAAACAAGGTACGAGTCTAGTCACGTAAACTATGGGAGGGGACGACTACGCTGTCTTGAAGAGGCCGTGGTGTTATGCCGTTTGGTCACCCATTTGGTGCTTAACCCCACTTCCAAACGATAAACCAGTACGATCGAAGCGATAGTAAAGACATAACTAATCGCTTTGGATAGTTCAACCACCAATTCTGTCGTAAACGCTGTCGTTGTATTCACATCTGCAGCTGAGTTTTTACTCTGTGACCTATCGTCGTTTGTTCCTGTTTCCTTTGACAATATGTATGCCTCTTTGCGCTCTGTTCCTTGTAATAAGCTGTGTTGCTCTCCACCCTTAACGCTTCAGCTCGTCCGTCCGTCGAAACTGTCGCATTCACTGCCCGTATCGCTCTAAATATATCCGCGTATCCGGTTTTTCGTTGTTAACCGGTGGTGTCGACACTCGCCGGGCGTTGACTTCCGCGCTGCGCCTATCGAAGTGTTGATCTCTGTGGTGCGGCTGGATGGACAGGCGTTGACACAGTTTTGCAGCTCCTCAGTCACATTTACTGAATCGCCAGGTAGATGGACCGTAAAACGGATTCAGCGTCCCATATTCTGCCTGTTTATTGACATGTTAGACTGTTGTCATACATACATTCATACATACATCATACATGTTGTCAGCCTTGCTGGGCTGTGTTGGACTAGCTCGTTTTTTCTATGACAGTGACAATATTCTCCGTGGTTCTAATATGAATGAGGCAAAAATGTAATTCTTGAGATGAATATATTCGGCGAAATTCGCGAAATCTCTAGCTATTTACATAGGCCATCTGCTCAAGCTTTTGCATTTGAATGCAGCATTTTTTTTATCCATAGGCCGCGTCGGTAAAGTTTTTCGTATTTAATGTCCGCTGAGGTAATTTCGCCGTGTAGATAGCTTCTAGATTCGAACCCGTGTCCCCCGCACACTGCACCGGCGTCGTCTGACTGAGTGTACCCGCTCCTTCTAACTGAGCGTACAGCCCTCAGCAGACTGCGTGGTAGGTATTCTTTTTTCGACAAAACCGATAATTACTCAAAGGCTATGTCAACAGTCGGTCGGAACTCACTTCAAATAGATGCGCCATGCTCCACTCCTTCGATTGGGTCTATTACTAAACAAAGTAAACGGCTTGTGTGGCAATGAAATGCAAAAGTTTGTTTTGGGGGCAAATATAAACTTTTGGGTTTTGCTGCCAAACTGGATGGAAAATGAATAAGATGATAATGCCAATCTAAGGTGCGGTATCTCGCGCGTCTTGCAGTTACGATTTCCGAGTGGCCGATAGCATAGTATTCGCGTCATTCTCGGTTTTGTTGAAAAAAGAATACCTACCACGCAGTCTGCAGAGGGCTGTACCTGACTGAGCATACCCGCGCCGCCTGACTGAGCGTACCGGCGCCTACTGACTGAGCGTACCCGCGCCGTCTGACTGGTCCTCTTCCCGCGCACAGGTGGACCTGGTGGAGTACAGCACGCTCGAGGCCGTCATACCCATCATGAACGAGTTCGCCGAAATCGAAACATGCGTAGAGGTACGGTATTGTGGCGTAATCATAGCTACAGGCTACAGTGCGTTTGTTAAGGCGGCTGAAGTGTGCAGTCTTTATCTAAATATCTGGCTTTTGAGACCGATGCCGTACTAAACATTTTCATTGCTACATGCCATAACGTGCCATCCGGGTTCAAATGCGGTCCTGTTGTATTGATATTATCAGCCTTATATTCGTATCTTATTGCGCATCTTTCTTTGAATTTCCAACACCTTAACACTGTTCGTCGATACCCCATTTCCTGTGTAGCCTCATGCTTTATACAGAAGATATACTTTTGCTCGATAAGTTGCCAGCTAATAATGCTGTCTTTTCATTGATCATTTATGTTTGTCCGTTGCAGTGCTCGGCGCGGACGTTGAAGAACATCTCTGAGATGTTTTATTACGCGCAGAAGGCCATTCTGCACCCCACTGCGCCCCTGTTCAACACAGCCGAACGAGACGTGAGTCAAACTGGAAGTGGGGGATTTTTAAATTGATGATTGACGACTTGGATTCTCAAAATGTCAGTTATTCACCTTTTTTACATGATTTTCCACAAATGATGACATATTGTGGTTTGATTGGGTTTGCCATGCAATATTGTCCAACACCCATTTGTAGTTCAGACTGACTCCCGTTCTCCCCACGCTCTGTTCTGACCTCCGCTTCTCTTCCCGATAGCTAACGGAGGCCTGCAAAGCAGCGCTGGGTAGAATCTTCAAGGTGAGACTTACAGCTCTTTCAAAAGCGTCTGTAAGCGGAAACTCGCCGCGCCTCAGTTATAGGCATTCACGTTTGTTGGAACTGTACTTATTTACCTCAATCAGTAACAAAAGCCGCCAATTTCAAGTGAATCACAGGGTAATTAGTCGTCGACGTACTCTGACTCCGACTCTCGCTCACTCATGTAATTTATCTATTTACTCACTTTGACTCACTTGTTTCTGTGTGTTTCTCTCACCCACCCGTTGCATCTACCGCCCTTTCGGCAGAGCCGTCTGTATATTGTGACTGCATATCATACCTCCCCTCCTGGCCACAGATTTGTGACATGGATAACGACGGTCTTCTCTCGGATACGGAGCTCAACACGTTCCAGCGTCGCTGCTTCAACGCGCCACTGCAGCCACAGGGACTCGACGACGTCAAGTCCATCGTCATGAAGAACGTCAGGGATGGCGTGGTCGACGACGCGCTTACACTGGACGGTGAGATTTGATGTGGAACAGGGGGAAGGAGGGGATGTGTGAGCTCCGATGTATGGCCGGCAAGCTCCACGTCGTTTGACCCGCGTTTCTATATTTAGCGAGCTAGCAATTACTGGTGAGAGAGGGCCACGCTAGACCCGGTAGAATTGTGTTGCCATCTACCAGCCTACGATACTTATTTCCCTTCCAGACCCAGACCAAGCCGTGATAACAGATAACAGCTGCTGCCCTAACATTGCCTCTGCAGTCTGCATCGGTTTTTCTTAAACAGCTGCGTCTTCTATCTAACAACTTTTCCCCACAGCTGAATTACTGCGCATCTGTGTGACTGTATTAGCCGCGCCTCAGCCGTCGTGGTGACCGGCCCCCGTATCGCCGCAGGGTTCCTGTTCCTGCACTGTCTGTTTATTCAGCGCGGCCGGCACGAGACGACGTGGACCGTGCTGCGGAAATTCGGCTACGGAGACGACCTGACGCTCACCAAAGAGTACCTCTTCCCGCCGTGAGTAGACGACCCGGCATCAAAGAGTTCTTCCCGCCGTGAATAGTTCCTCTTCCCGCCTCGAGTAGACGACCTCTAGCTCACCAAAGTGTACCTCTTCCCACCGTGAGTAGATGACCTCTAGCTCACCAAAGAGTACCTCTTCCCGCCGTGAGTAGATGTCTTCTAGCTCACCAAAGAGTTGTAACTTCCCGCCGTGAGTAGACGACCTCTAGCTCACCAAAGAGTACCTGGTCCTACCGTGAGTAATTCCTTTTCCCGCCGTGAGTAGTTCCTCTTTCCGCCGTGAGTAGACGACCTCTAGCTCACCAAAGTGTACCGTCCTCTTCCCGCCGTGAGTCTTATGTGGGAGGGCCAGCTAATCTCAGCACTTCAAAGAACCCGCTGTGATTGATCACTTACATACGTCAGTCACTGACGATCCACTGTGGATGGGGTGCCTTTTCTGCTTCTTTTCATCATGACTGGTCTGGAAAAGACATACATATCTCGAATGAGATATTCATTGGAAGAAAAATAGAACATCCTCTTCCTTGTATGAATTGACGTCACCCCTCCATCGAAGGCCGTCTTAACGTGGTTGTCGGGCCTGATTTCTCAGTCTCTGCCCGTCCAATTCATCCCATCCCGTCCCGTTCCTGATCATTGAATCTCCTCCCCTCCCCATACCCCTTTTCCAGCCCCACAATCTCCGCCTTTCCCAATCCGTCCCCCCTCACTGCCCAGTGTCCATCCCTGAGTGTCCCCCGCTCCCCTGATTCCAGTCTCGCCGTCCATCACACTCCGGTCCGCCCCTATTTTATCCTTCCCGGTCCTGGCCTCGCACCTCTCCCCGTTCCCGGTTCCAGCCCTGTCGTCCCCTCCCGTCCCAGTCCGTCCCTGACCGTCCCTGACCGTCCCGTCCCTTACCTCTCCTCTCCCTGTCCCCCGGTTCCAGCCCTGTCGTCCCGTCCCGTCCCAGCCTGTCTCTAGCGGCGCGCCTGCTGCCCGGCTCGCCCGTCCGCCGTCTCCCAATCAGTCCGAGCCACAGCGAGACCGCCCTGCACACGGCAGCACTCGACTCGTGGAGGTAGGACGACGGTAGTGGGGCCAGCCGAGCGCAGAAAGGGCGGGCCGTGCGGGACCGTGCCAGGGCTGGGGCCGGGAAGGAGGCGGTAGATATTTTTGATACGTTTGGACAAGGTGTATAGTTTTTACGGTCCTGGAAAATTGTTCTGATTAAATCGGGGAATTAGACGAAGTTAAAATGTCAGGCCGAAATCAAAATTTCGTGCTTCAACGGAAATTCGTGTATGTCTTTGTATAAAGTATTAGATGGTTCGTGATCGCCAGCATTTTGCTGACCACATGTTTCTGTTTTGTGTGTTTTCAGTCTGAGGATCCCGCCGGGCTGCTCGACTGAGCTGACTCACCAGGGATATCAGTTCCTCCAGGTCAGTACTGATTGCTTCGGGTCTGAGGGATACCAGTTTGTCCAGGTAAATCTTAGGGATTAGGATTAAACTTCGACTAAATTGCCGGTGATATATCTCAGTCCTTCCTTTCAGGCAAATGGTGATGATTAGGACTTGAACTACATGGGATTGGCCCACGATTCTTTGATTTTCGAGTTCATTTTGTGAAAAAAAGCTGTTAAAAAAAAACAAGTGACATGAAGCACAGTTCTGTAAAATTTACAGAACTGTGTTACATTACAATGGTGTTGGTGGCTACACACCACCTGCTGTCTTATTTTTCTCGTCAACTATCTGTTTGTCTCTAATTGTTATACACTTCTGTTGCCACACAAATGTCTTTGTGCTGATGCCTGCTGCCACACACATGCGCTGATGCCTTTGTCTATTATCCGTGCCCAGGTGATGTTTGAGAAGTACGACCAGGACAAGGACGGCTGTCTGGACCCGGAGGAGCTCATCCAGCTCTTCTCCACCTGCCCCTATATACCCTGGGGAAAGCAGGTACGAGGCACTGCAATACAGGTGTAGTCACAGGTGCAAAGTTATCAATGGCCCCTTGGAATTTGTGTGCCGAATTTCTAAACAAATGTATGTCAAAACTCATTTACCTTTACCATATCAGCACTTCAAGCTGTGCATTTGACATTGCTTTTGCGATTCTCTCATTTCATTTCTCTCGCTGGCCTCCACCACTTTCCATATTATCCCCGCCTGGCGTTGAACCTTCGCCTTGCCGTCTGCCCGCTCGGCTGGCCGGCTCAGCTGACTGCCCGCTCCCGCAGGTGTACAACACGGTGCCGACGGACAGCCGCGGCTATCTGACGCTGCAGGGCTACCTGTCTCAGTGGACGCTGTGGACACTGCTGGGAGCCGGCCGCACGCTCGAGTACCTCGGACACCTGGGGTACAGCTACGTCATGGAGGAGCCCCAGTCGGCCGCCATACACGGTAAGGAGCCTGCTGTACACGGCAAGGAGTCCGTCATACACGGTAACGGATCCCAGTCGGCCGCCATACACGGTAAGGAGTCACCATACACGGTAAGGAGGCGGCCATACACAGTAAGGAGGCACTATACACGGGAAGGAGCCCGCCATACACGATGAGCCCAAGTCGGCGGCCATACACGGTAAGGAGGCACCATACACGGTAAAGGATCCCAGTCGGCCGCCATAAACGGTAAGGAGGCCGCGATATGCGGTAAGGAGTCCCAGTCGGCCGTCATACACGGTAAGGAGCCTGCTGTACACGGTAAGGAGTCCGCTATAGACGGTAAGGAGCCCCAGTCAGCCGCCATACACGGTAAGGAGCCTCAAGGAGACCCAGTCGGCCGTCATACACGGTAAAGGATCCCAGTCGGCCGCCATACACGGTAAGGAGTCCGAGATATGCGGTAAGGAGGCGGCCATACACGTTAAGGGACCCACCATATGTACACGGTAAGGAGTGGTCCTTAGTTGGCCGCCATACACGGTGTGTAGACTGTGGCAGGAACGTGGCTTCGATTCTCAACCGGGTGTTTTATTGTCAACATTCACGCTCATCAGATGTTGGGTTGTTTCTCGCCTTATGCCTCTGAATGTTATGCAGACACTATATAATGTAAGCATTCTGAGACTTAGATCCCTTTATTGCTGCTGGGTAGTTTGGTTTGACGTGTCTTACCAACGATGCCTTTGGAATACAGCGTAGTTTGCCATTTCAGCCATAACAAACTACCACAATGATGGACTTCTGTCTGAGTGTTCTGCGGCAGTGTCGTCTGATGCGCATGGTGCTGTGGCGCGACATGTCGCTGGTTCGACCTGTCTGTTGCCGCTCGGGTGTCTGCTGACCTCTGACGTTCTCTGGCCAGTGACCCGGGAGAAGCGGCTGGACCTGCAGAAGAAGCAGACGTCCCGCACCGCCTACCAGTGTCACGTGATCGGACCGAAGGGCGCCGGCAAGACAACGTTCTGCCAGGGACTGCTCAACAGGAACGCTGAGGTGAGAGGAGGGGTGCCAGTGTCACGTGATTGGTCTTTGTCAGGGACTGCTCAATAGGAACACAGAGTAAGACAGGGGTGCTATACCAGTGCCATGCAGCAGTGTTTGCTTGTAGAGTTATTGCAAAACGATTACAAGCTCAGTGCTCAGGCAAATGCATCAAATTTCACCATTGTTTTGTAATCTTACGCCAGGAAAAATATTGTGCATCACTTTCCATCCACTACACTTGTCCTGACCACGTATTTCGACAACCTTCCTACCTTTCTCGCGCTTTCGTTAAGCAAACCGTGTGTGTGATGTCTGTAGTCTGACCTCTTGCTACCCCACCCTCCCTCCCTCTCTCATACGGTTTCATATGTACTGTAGTCTGACTCCCCCCTCCCCCGCTCTTAGTCTGACTCCCCCTCTCCCTCCCCCAGTCGGTGTCCTCTGTGCTCGAGTCGGACCTCTCGAAGCAGACCATCAGCCCTGTGCAGGTATACGGCCAGGAGCGCTACCTTCTGCTGCGCGACATAGACGTGCACTCCGTCACCGACACTCTGCTGCCCTCGGAGGCGCAGTGCGACGTGGTCTGCCTCGTGTACGACGTGGCCGACCCGCGCAGCTTCGAGTACATCGGCGGCATCTATCTGGTTAGTGACTGGGGTGCGAAAATGATGGGTGGAGGTTAAGACGCCTTTGTGTAAGTATTTAACAGCGGAGATGTTTAATGTAGCAGCACTTTACTGGGACGCCAGAACCACATTTGTGGTAGATGATGAGCCTTGCCCACAGAAATGCATTCTTTGTGGAGATGCCTGTTTCGGGAGTCGGAACTCGATGTGGGGTCTTACATCAGTCGAAGACCTGTCGAGCCTCCCTCATTCGTTGTTCGGGCCGAGACTCCAGTCCCCGCCTAGTGGTGGGTAACTGTTTTACTCCTGTCCCGCAGAAGTACTTTGCCGAGACGCCGGTCCCCTGCCTAGTGGTGGGCAACAAGAATGGTCCCACTCCCCTGCCTAGTGGTGGGTAACACTGTTTGTCTCCCGCCCACAGAAGTACTTTGCCGAGACCCCAGTACCGTGCCTAGTGGTGGGTAACAAGAGTGACCGCGGCGAGGTGCGTCAGCAGTACATGGCCCAGCCGGGGGAGTTCTGTCGCCGGCACCGTCTGCCGCCCCCGCAGACGGTCACCTGTACGGGCACAGTGCGGCGCGACGTCTACCTCAAACTGGCCACCATGGCCGCCTACCCGTGAGTGGGGGCTGTGGGTTCGATTCCCGGCGGGGAGGGGGGGGGGGGATAACTTAAGAGGGCTGAACTATAGGCGGTGGAGGGTTTGGTGATTGAGTAACGGGTAGTAGATGGTGTGAGTTAGTGCCTGTTATTGGGGGTCGGTTGGATTGTACCCTGTTTTAGTGGTTTGTAGGATCATGAAGAAGACACTGATCGCATGCCAAGCATGAAAATTGGGTTGGGCTGTCAGAGTATCCAGCTAACACTGTCAAATCGGTAAATTTGTCGACATTCCTCCCGTATGTGTATTTGGTGGTGTTGGTTCGTAGCCGTTGCACAAACGATGTCTTACAGACCCGGTTGTGTGACGCAGAATTGTGGTGTGTTTATGATGAATGAAGTCTACCCGGATGACGTTAGGAGTATGATCACAGGCGTGTGAACAAGACATTTCCGATTGTTTCTCAGCATTTTCAGCATTTTCCAAAAAAATTCATTTCATTCCAGCATTTTCAGCATTTTCTGATGCCAAACCACTCGCACCTCCTATTATTCATAAAACAGAAATCCCTTTTTCAAACAGTCCTGGTGCTTAGCCAGTGTTACGTATACCTTCCATCCCCTCCGTCCGTGTAGATAAAATCCCCATGCTGCTCCATCCGACCTACGCCATTCTGTTTCTTGTGTGTGCCTAGGAATACGTCGGCTCTGTCTCGTTGTATCAGTGTCTTTCCAGGGTCTGGTGTCTCGTTGTGTGGCCGGGTCTTGGTGTCGTGCTGTGGTTTGGTGTATCCGTCTCCCTGTCTCATGGTCTTGGGGGCCGGGTGTCGTGATGTGGTATAGCTGTCCGTGTTGGTGACTGGTGACTGGGCTGGTGCGTCGGGCAGCTGCCGTCACCAGTGGTGGTCGGAGGCCGTCAGCACCACCAGGTAACACCACCAGGCGGCACCACTCAGCCGGACCCGAGAAACGGGTGGCGTCAGCGTGTGTCTGTGCTGTCACGCTTTGCTTCACGATTTGGCTGTGCTGTGAATTGCTGTGATCACAAAGCAGAATCTGTATACGTTGTTCTAAAGAAAAAAAATGAAACAAATTTGACCACATCTCTCTTCATGTCTCTCTCCCCTTCATTCTCTCCCCCTCTCTCTCTCCCCTCTCTCCCCGCTCTCCCCCCTCTCTCTCTCTCTCACTCACGCTATCTCTCTTTCATCCCCTCCCCTATTTCCTCTCTTCTCTGTTCTCTCTTATCCTTGCCCTCTCTTATCCTTGCCCTCTCCTCCTTTCCTCTTATTAAATAATGTTTGCAGTCTTTCTCACCACTCACAAGTCACACTCAACAGAAACTCACGCTATTGCTGTGTCGTGTCCACACTGCTGTGTGTGCCATCCCGTATGTGGTCTACTCGTATGTCCACCGATTCGCTGCCGTCCTAGAGTGAGCCGATACCTACGGGGACTGAGAGTTTATGTGCTGAGTTGGACCCAGGGTTTTTGCCGTTTGTGCTGTGGTATTTTTGTGTAGCTGCTGTAAGGGCTGCTTATAAGTTTGTGGATTGACCGTGCCGGTTTTTGTGTTGATTTTGACCCTGGTCTCCCTGGCAGCGCACTATCCCAGGTTATCTTATGTCCATGTTGTGTTGTCCGGTGATATTAAACCCATTGACGCCATTAACAAGTCATAATCGTGATGTGTTTTGACTGTAATGTTTCTAACACACAAAGCTCTCATCCATTAAATATCCTATCTCCGTGACGCTGATCTTTGACTAATATGTGCTAGATGACTAATAGATAGTGTGCAATGGTAGCGGTATTGGTTACCCATGACCCGTGACCTGTGACCCTGGTGACCCTGAATAACATCCTCTGACCCCCACCGCTGCTCACTGTGACTGCTCAGTCGGTTCCTCCCGGCCTGGATGCTCTTCTCGCGCAGTGGAAGGTCAGTGAACCTGCACAGACTGAGCCGCAGTGTCCCCAGAAACGGTCGTAGTTCGGACAGTATGAGCCGCATTTGTAGTGTAGGCTTCACTGCGCTGCTTTCAAAGCTGAAATACGGCTAGTAGTACCCTGGCTAGTGTGGCATACAGTCAGACCTATGACTGGTAATGCTATTGGCCAGTCGTGCACTCGCATTCTTCAGTTAAAAGTGCGCAGTTTACGGTGTGTGCGACTGCCGCGTGCCAAGCAGCTTAGCTCTGTAGTTTGTGTGCCTGCAGTCCCTGATGACCTTCATGACAGTTGATTTAGTTACATTCGTTGTTGCTTGGTCCGAGCAGTATGTGATTTCTTCAGTGAATTAATGCTTACAAGGCTTAAGCTGCCTCCAGCAACGAGCCTCCTCTCGATCGCACCAGCGTTTCAGCTTTCCTACACACTCTGCATTGACCCATGATATGTCGTGCTATGGCTGTGTTGTCATGTCAACACCGCCTTTCCTGTGTCTCACTCACTTCGTGTCTCATTATTTATGTTTTGCTCTGTGCTTGATGTAATGCGGGGTGGGTTCCGATTTTAGCACGTCGTGGTTTTAGTTGAGCCCTCCCTATCATTGAATTCGGTTTTTGGTTTCCCGGTTGTATGTGCTGTTGCCGGCTCGTGTAAGCTGTTGCACTTTTGCCTTCTTTTTGCTTGTTTAAGCATATCATAGCTGCTATACGTTTGTTGCACCCAAGTGAGCTAAATAGATAAAAAAGTTTTTTTTCAGATAAAAGGACAATTATTTTCTAATTGAACGTGATTTGTGTTCCTCATGGTTGGGTCGCCCAACTGAATTCTCCCGTCATTTTTTTTTTTTATAAATGTGAGCAATTTCAATTAACGTGTGTTTCTGCTCCCTGAGCTACATCTGAAAGTATGTGTAATGTGTATTCCAAGGCCATATCGACACCTTTTTTTAAACCCCACATCTGTTCTCCGGTGAATTTCCGGGAAGCACGAAAGATCTCTTTTTAGAAGTGTCCAATCGTCCGATCCTGATCAAATTTGTGCGTTCGTAAGCTTGCTCTGGCATTGCTTGATCTGCCAAGACAGACAAACTTGAGAAAAATCGAGTGACTTTTTTGAAGATTTCTAAACAACTTGTCTGAACTTCACGGGAGAACCAAATGTGGGGTTAAAAAAAAGTGTCGATATATTCAAACATGTATGGTTAAAGTCCACACATATGACTCGTCGTGTCGTAGGTGTGACATTTCCGTTTCTCCCCGTCAGGCACCTGCGGAGTATGGGCCTGCTGCCGCGCGACAACAGCGGCTGGATGAAACTCGGACTCGGATTGGCCGCCGTCGTGTGCGGCGGCTTCCTATTGGCCCGCTACGCCCGGTTCCTGCACCAATGAGCGACGAGCAGGCGCCCGGCGGGCTGAACAAGCCTCGATAGTGAATACATAGGACAGTGTTGTGTGCTGATCAGTGTAAATGGCCTCTGGAGTTGAGTGTAACTCGGGAGTGTGGAGTGATGTACTCCAAGCGTAGGTGTGAGTGATGCAACTCTGTACAGAGACTAATTATCTCGAAATTGGAATGAACTTGGCTGAGGTACCAACCATATTGTGAGGTGATGAAAACAGATAGTCAGGTTTGTGTGATCCGATCAATAACTGTGGAAAGGATTTTCAGAGCAAAACGCATGGTAGAGCTACCGGATACCGAAGACTTCCAGCCCTGAAACACCTTAGAGATGCCGTTTCTTTGAAGGAGTCCGGCTTTCACATTCATGGCACGCTTTGACGCGTGACTGCGGGAACGCCAAACGTATGCTGCTTTATCCCTGTACTTCTTCTGCCTTTGCGATGGCTCTGATGAGACTTCCCGAAAGTAGCTATAATTCCAGTCCGATATGCAAAGTGCTGTATATTTGTATGCGATGGCATGGTGTTTGTGCAGGGGTGAGCAGGTTGTCTTCAGAAGACGAGCGTTATTCGACGAGCAGTTATTCCTAACTCGACTCGCTCGCCAAGTATGAACGTAGCAGATGTGTACGTTGTCCTGAAGAACATTTGCTCTCAGCGTATCACTGATCAGGATGCAATGATCGGTGTGTAAGGGGCGTGCATTTGCCGGATCGGTGCTTGTTTGAGAGACGATGTGTCGTCTTTGGAGTCCTTATGACGTCACGTCTTTGATCTTGCGACGTCTGATCGCGCTGTAAATTATTCGGACAGTCTTGATTGCTTGTCTGTGCCACGATATCTTTGTGTCTGCTGAGAGTGCCATTTTCGGACGGCAGAGGCTCGATGACGTCATATAGTTACTGATGACGTCACTGGAGCGATCGGAGCCCGCTGTGTGACGTCACAACACGGCGGGATAGTCTCGAACGGGCGCCTCTAAGGCGAGAATGAACAGACTGCTGGGTGGTTTAGCTCGCTATATCCTGAGAGTGAGGGTCGATGCTTGTGTGTCATGCATATGATGTGGGAACTGGGAACGCGTGTGTCTGATTGTGGATCGTGTTTGTATGAAAGACAGTATGCTATGTAGGAGAGCGTGGTTATGACGATTGTGGCGATTGATCGTCACGTGTACATAGACGCTGGTCGCGACGGTGTGCTCTATCTAGGCCGGTGTGTTTGACCCTCTAGATCGGTCTGACCCCCGGGATCAGATGGTTAGACCCCATGGGCCGGTGAGAACCCGGATGTGGTCAAACCCCGGTGTGTTGGGTGTGAGCAGTTGAGGAATCCTGCAGTTAGCGGACCTAAGCGAGCCGAAAACCCGTGGACGGCTCTGTCCGCAAGATCTAGGTAAATAAAGTACAAACCCTACTCTACCGTTTGTATGAGAGAGCGACGAACGTCGGCTGTGCGTCGAAAAAGATATTAGAGTGTGGTGTTCGCGGATCTGTTTCCTGTTATATGACCTTGTCCTCGATGACTAAGGTTTTGGGAGTTTTGAACTTACGAAGTTGGTCAAAAACATTGAACACTGACCGTCCAGTCGGGTTATTTCAGTAAGGTAATAAGTGTATTTGTTTTTCACACACCACCGCGACCGGTGCGGCGCCAAGGCTCAGTAGAAGAGGTCCCGCAGGTCGAGATCGAACCCGCCCCCGCCCGCCGGGCAAAGCGGCCCAGCAGCGCGCGTAAAGGCAAACAGCGATAGCGAATTGGTTGGTTACATGATAAATACATCATCACTCTCACAACACGCTCGTTTACGCAGTGTAGTATACACGGATACATTCAGACAGGCGTTCCTTCGTCACAAATCGGAAAGTTTCGGTCGCGCGCATACCGGGTTCTGCTATCGGGAAAATCTGGCCGCTCTCCGCCAGCCGCCGCCCTGGGCGGAGCGAGCGAGCAGCGCCGAGCACACCACACACGTGTTTTGGGCGGCCGATCCACCATCGCGGCTCCGGCGGCCAATAGACGCCCATACCGCGTCCGTCATGTGACCGCCAGAGCCACGTGCCGCGCCGCCGCCGCTGCCGGCAGTTATGTACAGCTGGTGGGAGGTCCCCACTCGGCAAAACGTCATCCGCCGTCAGCGTCGCCGGCGCGCCGCGGGAAAAGACCCACCGCGCCGGAACAGCCGTTCAGAGGAGTTACCAGTAGGCGTCCATAACCACACCGGGCCTAATGAAACCCCACCGGGTCACGGAATCCTGTCTGCGCGCTATGAGCGGCTACTGAGAGTTCCTTGTTCGGTCGGCATTGCGAGGACCCCGCCGGTCGCGGCCGCAGTCCACGTAAGTCGCACAGCTACCACCAGCTGCTCATAACCCGCCACTACGGCGGCGGCATGAATGTAGCCACCGGCGGCCGGGTTATGGGCGTCTAGTGGAATAGTCCAGCTTAGGTGGCGCATCTGCCAGTTCGCACCGGCGTCACCGAGCCGAGCCGGCCGGCAGCGGCCGGCACGACACAGGGGGCGAAATGTGGGGTTCCTTCCTCTGGAATCTTACAACCAACATACACACACATACGGTATTCGAATACATACATTGATTAAATACAACATATTTTTTCGCCCCAAAATGTTGAAGAAATCAAAGAAAAGAGAGGAGAGAGAGCCTTTCAACTTCATTCAGCAGAGCGAAGAAAAAAAGTTGCGCGTTATGATGAAGTACACGAACGGCACACGCACACGCAGACATGAGCGTGAAAGGACATGGTTCCGGTCCGAGCATCCCTTTCATTCAGTCGTCGTGACAGTGCACACTGCACCTGAGCCGCAGAAACGGGATCACATAGAGACGATAGTCGATACAGCGTTAGTAGAGAGTAGCAGCGAGAGTACACACCCAGCACACACCCAAAGTACACGCCCAGGGCCGACCAATACACTGTCCGGCCGATCACCTCGCTATCCCCAACTGGCAACCAGGGAAGGAAGGTGTTCCATCGTCCCGACCAGCGAAGAAGGGTCGGTCACCCATCAGCCATATCCGACACTGGATAAAAATGGACTGGCATTTGAGACTAGACAATCATGTGGGAAAAGATCGGTTCGCTGAAGATGCGATATTAGGCGACCATGATAGTACAATTATTTTTTCACAGCGATAAATAAAACAAAGCAAGAAAGCACTTACAACAAAATAATTTTTACGTCGTTCTTTCAAATAGAAAACCTCCTAATCACAGGATCAGTCTGCGTTCTTGTGTACAACACGAAAAGGTGTAGGTATGTGCACCGTAAAACACGCTAAGTGAATAAATAGCTATATCGGAATGATAACATGCCTATATTCGCCGTCTATCTCACGAAGTTAGAGAGGATCGGCAGCTGAAGCGCGGACGATGACAAGGCAGTGCGGTACACCTCCAATACACGATCGTACGACACGCTATCCTACATTCGATGGAGCCGCGGCGGGGCCGCCGCAGAGGCCAGCTTTCTTGTTTTGATTTGCGCACGGCTATAGGGCGCCCCTCGCGCTGTGCAGTAAATGAGATCGTCTGCTCTCACGCCCTTCTCACACCCGCTCACGTCTAACTCACACTGGTGTGTCTCACAGTGAGATCCGACGAGCTCACAAATGAACTCTTCTTACACACGGTAAATATGTCCCATCCAGTGACACAGTTCGCACACTGACCTTGGGTAAATATGTAGATTGTAAATATATGTGTAGCATTTGATAGATATAGCTGACAGCAAGGGCTGCGCTGCCAGGTCACTCGTGAAAAGCTGTCATGTCACACGCGTCATGCTGTCCGTCGCGGGTGACGGCAGGGAACCGTCACGTCACACTGGCCTCGCTCAAGACAATAATAATCCGTTCCGCTAACTCGTTCAGGGAGACGGCTGCCACGCAAGAGCGACAAAGAACACTCAAAGCATCCCGCGGAAACTGGGCGGCCCGTGCGTGTGCGTACATATCGAATATGTTCTTCTGTCCCCACACGGCTGAACCAGGGTCGGCCAAACTGGGAGTGTGATCACCTTCCCACAAACCAGTCCGTCAGTCAAAAACCCCGGAAAATCCACTCGTTTCACAATATGTGTTCTCGGCAGAGAAGACCAGGTATCCAGTACAGCTAGGCCTAGAAGTTGGTGACGCGTTCGCGACATTTCTTCATGAAGTCCTGTGCAGCCTTGTCACCGAGGCGGCTCTCCAGAGTCTTCAGGATCGGGTGCTCTGGAAAAAATGTGCGGAAAGGTGCGTTAGGTAACTTTTTAGTGTTGAAGGAAATTGGTAAAGTTTGTCCGGCTTTGGATGCCGTGCGGGCCATTATTAGCCCATCGTTAGCTCATCCAGCCCGAAATAATGAGCTCAGCCCGATACATCATTAGCTCACCGCCCATAACCGCCCATACCTCTGTCTCGCTGGTGCATGAGGTTCAGCTCGATCTCCTTCAGGCCGTGGAAGTTGTCCGCGTTGGACGTGCCCCGGTCGACGCCAGGGATCTGGGGGTGGACGGGAGGACACTATCAATGCATTGGTTCTCTACTTATACGAGTATATAGCAAGGAAAGAAAACAAACTCACGCTCGAGGTCGAACCTTTGGCGGCAGGTACGCGAAAATCTAGGTACTGTTTCAGATCAAACCATCTAACCAAGAATCACATCTCATGCCTCTTGCTTCTTAAAGTCCTGTATTCCTAATGGTGTCTTGGGTGAAGTAATGTTTATAACTGTATGTCATCAAAAGTCAGTGAGGTCAGTGAGTCTGAAGGTCAGTGAGAGCTCTGTGAGTTCTCACCTGGTTCAGCAAGAAGTCTGTTTGTTCTCACCTGGTTCAGGGAGAGGCCTGTTAGCTCTCATTCGGTTTCTTTGAGTTCTCACCTGGTTCACTGAGAGGTCTGCGAGTTCTCACCTGGTGCAGTGAGCGGTCTGCGAGTTCTCACCTGGTTCAGGGAGAGGTACGCCTCGCCGGCGAAGTCGTTGAAGGTGAGCACGTCGTGGTCCATCACGGTGAAAAGGATCATGGCGCCCTCGGCCCGGCACTGCTCCAGCGTTACAGAACTGGGGACGGCGGGCAGTGGCACATGGGGTCAGGGGCGGATCCAGGGGTCGACAAAAATCGGAGTCTCGGCGCGTCAATGCTCTTGCGTCACAGGACTGAGGACAGCGAGACGCACGGTTCCGTGGTACGCAATATACGAGTATACGTTGTGCACCGCGGAACAGTCTACCTACAGGCGCCGACAACTGGTGACACCTAGCGACCAGTTTGATCACTACATACTTTGCATTGCGGAACAGTCTACCTTCAGGCGCCGACCACTGGTGACATCTAGCGACCAGTTTGATCACTACATACTTTGTAGTGCGGAACAGTCTACCTTCAGGCGCCGACAACTAGTGACACCTAGCGACCAGTTTGATCACTACATACTTTGTAGTGCGTAACAGTCTACCTTCAGGCGCCGACGACTGGTGACATCTAGCGACCAGTTTGATCACTACGTACTTTGTAGTGCGGAACAGTCTACCTACAGGCGCTGACAGCTGGTGACATCTAGCGACCAGTTTGATCACTATATACTTTGTTGTGCGGAACAGTCTACCTTCAGGCGCCGACCACTAGTGACATCTAGTGACCAGTTTGTATACTTCATAATCGGTAGTGCGGAGAAGTCTATCTTCAGGCGCCGACAACTGGTGACATCTAGCGGTAATTTTGAGCAGTATAGTGTGTTGCGGCACAACGTAATAGCGGGCGTTTCCAAACTCCGTGGTGATAGTCAATCCACGCAACAACACGCGTAGTCCGCACTAAGCCCCTTGCTCAGCACACCAGCACATAAACGAACCACTTTCTTCCGTAAAGGAGCTCAGCTGTGAGCTACGACCAATTTGTGATTGAAGCCTGAAGGTGAAGCACAGGGCTGGTAAAAAGCGCCGATTCGCTGATAATATCGGAGCCAGAACAATAGCTGTACAAGCGATTTAGGGAGCCAAAAATAAGCGTTTCAACGCAAGTATGCATGTGCAGAATAACTGCTAAGTTTTGTTTCATATTTTCATTTTATTTCTACGACAAACCTCAAAATACAAGATGCCTGAGCACAAATATTAAATTAGTAACAGCATTCAATTTCCCAATGAGGTCTTATGCGCAATGTTTGTCTACAAAGTACAAAGCTGGTAGCCTATTCAGAATAGCTGTAAATGCTTACCGCGAACAGCGTCAGCATTGATCAGTCGAAGAGCCATCAGTCGATTTCCAGCTTTAACACTACGGAGAATAGGGCTCCGTAACTTTTATCAGTTGATGAGGACCTAGTGTTGAGGGAACGGGGAGCCACAGAGCCTTCTACCATTGGCGGTTCACTGTATTACCGACTAGTTTAGAACACAAATAATGATATTCAAGTGGCCTTTTCATTTTTATCAATGTCAAGTCTCGTCAAAGTCTCGTGCAGGGTTGCGGCACGGGCAAACTGTACATTTCATGGTATGTTGGTTGTTGTTCGGTTGGATTTGAAGCTGCTCCTCTTCTATATAGTACATCTCATAGCAATATCATAGATCACCTACCTCAATATTTTAAAGGTAGTGTGCCACCTTTGAAAGATTTCCCATTTTATTTTTCCTAGGAAAAGAAGCTTCTGTTTTTACCTAATATCGCAAAAAAATCAAACATGGGCCTGGAATAGTGCCTTTTTCGCCTAAAAGTTTATCGGTTTTTAGATATGTATAACAACTGTAGTGGGCTCACCTGCAAACAGGCGTCGGGCAACAATCGCGAATGCGGCGCACTTGTGACAATAAGCAAAGGTCATTATAGTGTTACGACCATACGACGTACGGGAATGAGTTATCAGCTGTCTAATCGTAGACAACACAATGTCGAGCCTTAACCCGCGTCCTGCTGGGGGTCCTGGATTTCCACGCCCTGCTGGGGGGGGGGTGTTTGAACACCCCCCTTGTAACTCGGCTCCTGGGCCACGTAGCGATACGCGGAAGGCGGCGTTCGAAAGAGCGTAAAAAATAATGACGAAATCACTTCGGTCAATTTTTTGGTCAGGTCAAAGGTCAGGTCACCAGAGGTCATTGAAGGCAAAATTTCGCCGATTTCCAGGTCGAATGTCGGAAATTTCCAAGAAGCCAACGCATAACTCGGGAACCAATAGAGCTACAGCGCCGCGGAAAAGCGCATTCGATAGCCCTATTAACGCCCTTTCTGGGTAATTCTCTCAGATTTGACCTAACGTCAACGGTTTTGCCTGCAGGGGGCAAAAACTGCAAAAATAGCCGATTTTTTCGAAAACAGTTTTTCTGCAATAACTTTTGACCCAAGCCTTGTACGAGCTTACTTTTACCGGCATCGTGTTCCTCTCGTCAAGACGCATCGAATGAACTATGACCTGACCTTGAAAGGTCAACTTAAAAATTTGACCTCAGGTCAAGGTCATGACCTGACCGGAAAGGGTCATGTTGCATATCAGTCGATCCGTATCGTCGAGCTGAACACATCTAAGGCGTTTTCATCGCTCTAGCATGCCTCTATCAAAAGTTATTTGCGAAAAACTGTTAGATACCATTCGTGACCTAAGATGACCTCAGGGCATAAACAAGGGTCACGGACACCATTTTCAAGCTCAGTGTATCTAAACCACTTGTAATTCGGTGTTTGGGAGTGTTTATAATGTCTTTCATCCAAAAGAGGCGCATTTCAATTTTCTCCCATTGACTTATAATGGGGAGGTCGCAAAATTGACCTGACCTTAGGTCATCGATATCAAAATTCTGAGATATACATTTTGTACATGCTATTGCTCTTAGCAATCGCTGAAAGTTTCAAAGCGATCGGTCACTCGGTGTAGCTATGACAGACATTGAAACTTTTTATGAGGTGAGGTCACTTCAAGTGACCTGGTGACCTGACCTTGAACGACCTTGGTCTGAAATTTTCACAACATGTGTAGAATTGATGTATGATAAGGTGTACCAAAAACGGCGGCGCTCCGCGCCGCCGTTTTTGAGATATTCGCGAAAAACCACAAGGGGGGGTGTTCAAACACCCCCCCCCCCAGCAGGGCGCGGGTTAAACTGTAAGCCCGTATTGGTATTGTTTCTTTTATTTGGCTGTCGAGCATTATTTATGGTTTGAAATATGATTTTATGTAAAATAATTGATATGAAAAAGCCGTCTTATAAGTTATGACCCCATTTCACCACACGCAAGTGGCAGAAATGACAATGATCAGCTGACGCATTTTTCTTGGCCGAAGTCAGAGCGCGCAGCCCGACGCACCACCACCGCACCACAAAGTATGAGCAGAAGCCGCGTCCAAAGCCAGGGCCCCGGTAACGTGAGGTAGCCGAGTCGGGGCAGCGTGCGCTGACCCAAGCCGGGGCCGCAGCTTTGGGCGCGGTCTACCGCATCCCCGCGGGCAGCCCCGGGCTATCACATGACACCGGGAGGACGCGCGGCTCCGGCTTGGGTCAGCGCACGCTGCGCCCTGACTCGGCTACCTCACGTTACGTTCGCCCTGGCTTTGGGCGTGGTCTACCGCACCACCTAACAGGCGTGTTCGAAACCGCAGGAGCTGATGATGAACGGGTTTATCGAAACTTGATTGGATGAGCATATCGGTAATAGCGATTTCAGTGTGTGCATTTATTGTTCATAGTGGTGTGAAATGTGGTTGGGGTACGACCGACAACCCGTCGGGGCGAATTTCGCACTGGGGTACTCAAAATTTGAAGAATTTAAGACGTTTCCATGAGTTTTGAAGGTATGGATAAGTTCTAAAAATCCGGTTCTCCTTATCTGGGCCATTAACTCCATACGGTCCAAGAAAGCTGGCACACTACCTTTAAGCTGATCAAGCTGTGGAGCTAGACATGAATATGGCGCTTGTTTTTACTTTGAAGATGCATACGGATACCTAACTCAAGTGGCTAACGATACTCATTTATTTGCCAACCAACCCAGTATGGTTAGCATATTTGTTACTAAATTAAATTAAGTTTTGAATATCAAGATACCTATGCTCCTCTTCTGCATGTTTTTCTTTTTGGTACGTCATACTCAAAATATGCTTATATAAGCAATCCTGATTTATATTTGAGGCATTTTGTAACTAAAGTTAATATGAGACTTTCACTTATAATGCCTTTGTGTTTCAGTTCTCAGCTTAGGACATCATCAATCATGTGTATCTCAGATGATGCAGACAATGACCAGCCTGCGGAAGATCTATGCTAGTGGGCGAGATGATGAAATTTCCTCTGTTGGTGAGCCAGTATTTTTTTGTCAACAACATTCATTGCCTTATATGCATTTGTGCCTTACATTTCTGTCACCAACCAGCTTAAACAAAAGTAGAAATTATATACCTACATTCTTTTGCTGTGTTTGACACCAGCCGATGTCCCAAAATCAGGATACATCAGTGAGCTAGAAGTAAAACTAAAATAGTTACTGATGATGTTTAAGGTGTTCCTGAAAAGGACGCTGTTCACCGCACTTTCAAGCTTCTTCTGTTACGAGTGTTAGGAGCCACTTTTCATGGCCAAAAAGTTGGTCAGAGCCACCAAAACCATTTTTACCAGCCCTGGTGAAGCAGCACCCAGACGAAGACGCAAAAAACACATTACAAACAACTTTAGTACAACACAGTGCAGCTTCACAGTAAGCACATCGAACGCTGCCAGTTTCAGACAGAAAGAAAAACAACGTCGGTGATCCCCCATACTCCCGAGGTGAAACACAAAGGAACGCAGGCGGCAGAGTCTATTCAATAACGTAAGAAGAAAGCTTTCATCAAAGTTCCATTAAGTCAACAATTAAGTGTTTTATCATGTTTGTTTCTATTTATAATATGTAGGTACATTAGAGCAACCACTAACCACTAACCACAAATAATCACCAGTCACACAATGCTCTTCACATCAATGTAGCAACACATTGTTACAAAAGCCATGACAGGGCCCCGATAAATTACTCATTGCTTTCACGTTAAGGAGGCAAAATGGGTTTGCTAGATGTGGCTACTTCAGAAATAACAGACATATTGTCTGCAAAAATGGTCATAACTAGTTTTTCCAATGAGCATATAGCGAAATTATCCAGGACAACCCATTTGAAAGTTGATGTGGCGGTTTAGTTCCCTTTCGAATCCGCTTATTCCCTGGCGGGACTGGAACCCACGGCCCCTGGGTCAGTTGACTCACTATTCGAAGCACTCGTCGAAGACGGGGTTGAGCGTGCGTTTGTGGACGACCGTCTGCTGCTCCACACAGGACGAGAAGATGTGTCGCGGCAGCAGCTCAATGATCACAAACGGGTCACTGAGACCTGAAACAGAGGCGGCAGGCGGGTCTGAGATTCACCAATCACAGGACGGACGTGCATGAGATCGACACAGTGAAGCATGACCTGATTAAAAGAG